TGTGCTCTGTACGTTTCTGTTCTAGTACTATAGCTATGTAGGGAGAGGGAGCAGTTGGTTGCTGGCTGTTCACGCTGTTGTCTTTTGTTTTATTATATTAATAAACATTAAATTGGCATAGTCTGCGTCTAGGGGCAATTGCTTGCATGTGTGACCCACACACACACACAATTACACGCACACAACCCCGCCCAGAATGGCGCTCTATTGAATTGCCATAAGTGGCCATTTATTTACATATTTGCTTTTGAGTGGCACGCGGCACATGCCAAGCGCACTTCAAAGCTCGTTGATATGCTATAGCTTTAGTTGTTGTGGTTGTTGTTGTTGTTGTCGCTGTCGCTGTCGCTGCTGCTGCTATTACTGCTGCTGCTGTTTTATTGTTATTGTTTTACACACACACACAGTTTTAGATGGCATCAGTCGGCTACTGGGTTGGTTGTTGTTGCTGTTTTTATTATTGTTGCTGTTGCGTCATTTTGTGCAATTTATGAGTTTATCGAACAGACTGCACCATAAATAGAATGATGCGCACTTTATGCCAGGGATGGCAAACTAAACAGATACTAAACAGATACTAAAAATTTAATTAGCCAACCATCACAAATAATTTGACCAAATACGGTTACATAAAATTTAAGGCACTTCAGTAGCAATAACAAATTAAAAATCCACACGATTTATTAAGTAACATACATATAAGCCATTCTTGCCGATAGATAACACATAATTAATATTTTCCAAATAGTAGATACCAATTCAATAAAGTAATAGAATCTTACTTAATGTTAATTAAAATTAAATTTTCAATACCAAAACTGAAAATATGTATACAGGGTGCGCCATCTTTTATGTCGGTATGTAAATATTGAATAACCAGTGTTGAAAACCTCAGTTCAAGAAATTGTACAGAACCAAATTAAATAAAAAACAAGAAAGGAATGCTAAAGTCGAGCAGGCTCAACTCTTAAATACCCTGTACCACCCCACAAAAAATTAATTAAATTAATTTTATTAAATTATTTAATTTAATTTATTTCATTAATTAATTTAATTTAATTAATTAACTAAATTAATTAAATTAATTAACTAAATTAAATATAAAATATTCCATGCATGCATAGATACATTTACATCAGAATCGTGCCTTATGCGTGTTTGTGTACTTGTACATATGTATGTATGTGTGCATTGGGCCTGGTTATATGGCTATAACTTTCTTTCCGATCATTCTATCATAATGAAACTTGGTATACGGATATATAATTACTAACCTAATGTGACTACCAAATTTTAGTTCAAAATTCCAAGAATTACGGGAGTTATAGAAAATCAGTAATAGGGGGGGAGTGGGGGGGCGGATCAGAAAAAATTAACAAACTCGTCCTTTCTCGGTCTCAGGAGAATCTGTATACCAAGTTTGGTTATTCTAGCTCTTATACTTTCGGAGATCCTTGCGTTCATACAGACAGACAGACGGACAGACAGACGGACAGACAGACGGACAGACAGACGGACAGACAGACGGACAGACGGACAGACGGACATGGCTATATCGACTCGGCTTGTCATGCTGATCAAGAATATATATACTTTGTGGGGTCTACCAAGCCTCCTTCTGTGTGTTCCATGTGCACTCGCACAAAACTAATATACCCTTGTACCCTTTGGGTACAGGGTATAAAAATATCTCATACTTGAAAATCGGTTGTTTATTTTCAATGTTTTCAATGTTTACATACCGACATAAAAGATGGCGCACCCTGTATATTAAACATATTTTAACCATTTTTGTTTGAATACTTCAGTAATTTTAATGTACAGGGAAGAAAATTTTTGTTCAGTTAAAATTCATTTCAAATTATGATATAGTATTGACATAGGAGCTTTATGATATTTTAATGAAGCATTCGATATATTTATACAAAAAATATTATAACTAATCATTACTGTTGCGATTTGCACGTAAACAAGCAACAAATCCGAAAGCACAATAAAGAATGTTGACTACAATGATTTCTGGGCTAATGGGAGAAGAAGTGAATATTGTTCTCTCAATATTGTAATATTAGTGTTGTCAGATGAATGCACATATAGCTTATTTAAATTTTCATTCACTTCATTCAAATCGAACTAAACAAATCAGTCGACGACCTTATATTCCTGTATAACGAGAATTGATTTAATTTTTAACATGCTTTTACAATATATGAGAGTTAAAAACTTAGAATCTACCATAAATAAAACTGATGAAATGACAGTTTCAAAAATGTTTCCACTGTCCAACTTTAAAAAAAAAAATCCTTCATATCAATTGGCACTTATGATTGATTTGGTGGTTTCCTTAATTAAATGTAATTCTTGGGAATTTGATTGCATTTACCATTATCCGATTGCGTTAACTGGAAGTTCCGATTCGAAGAGTAAACCGCAAATACTGTGCATTTTTTAATGCATATATGTATCTGTTTTTTCAACCCTGATTTATTCATCGCCTGCCTTTAATTGGCACTTCTCGCTTCACATCGGCGTATGTCAACAGCTGGTTTTTTGTTGCTGTTGTTGTTGTTGTTGCTTTTGCTATTGTTGTAACGTTAATTGTTCGTTCAACTCACTTGTCGTCATTGTCTACGACTGCGTTCATTTATCGTTTTATTTCTATTGTCATTGCATATTTATGCAAATTATTATTGTAAATGTATTAGAGCTCATGGCGCGTTGCCTTCCACTAGAGTTGCCACATTTACATAAACATTGCGTCATAAAGCGCCAAGTCTTTGGCCAAACAAACACATGTGTGTTTCAAAGCAATGCAACTGCTTGCCCCCTTAATAGGCAACACTTGGCGCAATTAACGTAAATTAGCAATACAAGTCAGGCCGTACAGGAGATTTCTCGCATATCCAACAATAACAGCCACTGTGTATATGTATTTGTTTGTGTGTGTGTCTGCGTATGTGCTTGTTTAGCGGCTAGTTTATTGCATGCCCGCCAAGCGTCGCGTCTGTTTACTTAAGATAACAGTTACATTTTAGTGTACTGCAGGCTGGCTGGCACAACAGTGCGTATACTTAACTTTATTAGCGCCAAATGAGTTAACGGCATGCTCCGAAATGGCAACGCTACGAATTAGTCGCGCATTATACTATACAGGCGCTGTATGCTGGGATGTAAGCACGAATATCTGCATATATGCACATATGAGAGGTTGTGCCTGTGGTTCAGAGTTTGTTTATGCAAATTTATGAGCGGTTGTGTAGGCATGTTTATGTAAAGATAAAAGTGCGGAAAAACATTGCTAACTATTAGGAAGTTCCACTTAAACATAAATCTTCACTGTTATGCTGTATACATATATACATACTTATAATTAATTTTTAAAACTTTTATCTGTTGTTATTCAGTCTTTGCACTTGTGTAAACAATCATTATTGTCATATCTAGACCACTAATTATGCCCTAGTACAATAATAATTATTGTAGTACGTAGAATAAGAAAGCGTTAGGGCTAGGATAGGATTTAGTCGAGCTATAGACATAATTTTTTCCGGCATTCTGTTTTCATAAGTTTTGCTCAAATTTATTTATTCATTTATTTATGGTTAACAAAGAACTGCTAACTTTGCAAAAAGAAGAACAATAAAATTATTAAATAATAATAATAGGAAGAAAAGAAAAAAAGATTACTTATAAATATACAAAAGAATAAAATATATTAAATAATAAATAATATAGGATTAGAGACTGTCAGAATCAAGTTGCAAGTATATTGATGATGAAATAGGCGTAATGAAGTGTTCGAAGAATATATTGCTGTTATTCTATCTTATGTTAGCTTCCCTACATATTGTAAATACGGTTTTCATTTATGCTATTTAAAGACTATCGAAGCACCCAATATTTATTGACTTGGGACTTTGTACTCACAAGAGCCAGTATAACTTCATATTTGAAAACGCACGACCACATTTTTGTTGTTGAATTTTTTTAATAATTAATTTGTATAGTAACAGTACTTAACAATACTTACTATGACTTTTAGCAAAGGGGGTTTTATGAACAATTAAAATAAAATTAATTATTTATTATTTGAAACCCACACTTTGTACAACATGGAGAAAGATTTCAGTTCATGAGCATAAACCGTTCTCTCACTTTACATTAAACCTCATATCAATAATGCTTTTACAATTTTTACACTTCTTTTATTAATAGCATACGTTTAATATTTTTTCCTCGTTGTTTAATATAAGCATTTTATACGTGCATTCACATTGGCACCATAACAATACAAGTTTACAAATATGAAAAAGCCTAACATCAAGCACTTTCGCGCGAGGATTAATAAGCAAGTGGTGTTTTATGATTATCTAATCCTTTCAGAAAATCCTAATCGTTGAAGCCTGCGCAAAGCTCTGCAGAAAGATTTCACTTCATTAGCATAAGTCAGTCTCTCATGTCTATTATTAAACCTCATATTCACAATGCTTTTAAAATGTTCACACTTATTTTATTAATAGCTTACGTTCAATGAACACACACTTTATACTAATCATTTCAACGAATATATCGAACACAGGGCGTATGAGTAACGCTTGATACAGCACGTAAACATGAAGAGTCTATGATTGGCATAAAGACAATTAAATCCTTAATAGCTCAATAAATATAATTTGAAATGATGAGCACATTTTATGTAAAAATCACACGTACATATAAGTGTTAAAAAATGTGTAGCTTTTGCATTTGTAAATCCAAATTCTGCTAAAAATCTTTTTCCACTAACTTCACGTCCGGTTGCTCGTCGCTTAGTCCGTCTTACGGTTAGCTTGACTCGGTCCGTCAGACCATGTAATTTTATAATGCGCGTTGTCTGCTCAGTGTAAGTTTTCTCCTTTCCTTTACTTTTCGCAAATTCTTTTTGGCACTTGCGCAAAACTTCTTAATCAAAATAACTTAATAATTATATTTTCATTTCTTCTACTATCTTCTCATTGCAGTCACTAAAGGACGATAGTAATAGCGTGAACGCCAATTTTTAACTACTTTTCGACGCAGATAATTGAATCATAAAGGGCGAGGGAGAGTAAAAACAAGAGCAGCTACAGGAAATCTGGCCAAACGTCATTGTTGGAAATGTGTTAAACAAAACCAAGTTAATAATTGCCATAAAGCGAATGAAAAGCGCGCCCGAACAAAGCAGAGAACAGCACGTAGCAGAAAAGAATATTGTAAGAGGCAAAGGCAAGCAATGCAAATAAATGGCAGCGGCACAACTTAATTAATGTTGAATGAAGACGAGCAGGAGGGACGAGCAGCGCAGGAATAACGAATATTTTTGTAATAAAAAGCGGAAATTAAAACGCAATGTGGCTGATGCCGCCGATGTTGCTTCCACATCCTCTTCTCAGCATCTCGGTGGACACAACAAAGTGGACGAAATTGCTATTGAAAGAGCGCGCACGTTTATTGGGTGTGCAACAACGACGATAACAACAGCAATATAAACAGAAACCGATATAAAAAAAAAGCATACATTCATTTATATTAAGCATATATACTTTTTACAAGCAACGACTGAAACTTAAACAACAACAAACACCAACAATAAAAATCAAGCAAAAAACAATTAACTTAGCCAAAAATAAATAAGCAAACGAATAAAAACCAAATTACTCTTAAGTTGGTGGCTGCTACAAACTAGGCAAAAGTTCAAATTAGAGCAGGCAACAACAATTACTATAGCAACAACGAAAGCAACGAAAACGAGGCATAATTGAAGCGCTTCTGAATTTTATGCATGAAATAGCTAGAAACAAGGCAATACAAACACAACTTCTGCCAAGAAACTGAACAACAATAACAACACACACACACAACAAGTACCAGCAAGGAGTGGCAGCAACAGCCCATCAACAGCTACACATGAACACGCTGACATTGCCACACTAAACTGTCAAGAAAGGCGGAACACATACGAAAATTTCTCGTCAACTTTCGCCGGCGGCGCTGGCTGGTATCAAGCTCATCAACGTGGCAACGTGGCAACCACGACACCACATTGCCAGCAACACAGCAGCAGGCACCAAATAACATCATTATCGTCATCAGCAACAGCAACAGCAGCAGCAGCAGTAACGCATTCACGCATCCGTAGCCACTGTCACAGTTAGTCGTTGACCAAGGCTGACAGCCCAGTCAGGCAAAGCACGCGTCTCTCCATCAGCATCCACATCCACATTCACACATCCCCACCAGTGCCTGCCTATTCCTGTTCCTGTCCCTGTCACTGTCCCAATGAATTTGCTGTGCTGCTGTTGTTGCAGTAACATGGCACCGAATCAGCGCATCACACGCAAATGGGAACTATTTGCCGGACGCAATAAATTCTACTGCGATGGATTGCTAATGTCAGCACCGCATACGGGCGTCTTCTATTTGACGTGCATTCTAATCACCGGCACCAGTGCGCTCTTCTTTGCCTTCGAGTAAGTACACTAAATAAAAAAGAGAACATCGAAGCTATTTTTTTTAGAAATACTTATAGTATCACGCTTTCTAAATAAAAAACTAAAAGCAATAATCCTTCAGCTATGCCTTTATATGACTTAATTGAACATCTTAAATATAGCCTTTAATTAAAAAATATATTTGAAATACATTAATTTTTTTAAATCCATAAACTAACGTGTTTTTTAGCCTTCCGAATTTAGAGTCATTTGTCAAATTATCATTTTTAAGAGCAATAGTTCGCTCCTAGAAAATTTTCAATTATTTTAAATCTATGCTACTTAAATTTGGAAAAGAGACTTTAATATTAAGCATTTTATGTATTGTTCAACAACCAATTAAAACAGTCAAAAGTTACAAATTTAATTCAATAGAAAAATGATTGATTCTGCCAGGCTCGACCCGTATTTAATTTCAAATAATTGTATAATTCATAGCCGTTCATATAAATGACAGATGAGGTTGATTTAAATAATGTTGTGTACAAAAAAGATTATCCTGGTGTCATGCATGTCGAATGAGAAGCGTGCCGATAACAAAGCAGACAATGAAAGAGAAACATGCATATATTAATTTCAACAATTAGTTTTTTATTTTAACTGGACTGCTTTTAAGAGTAGGAGTTCATTCTTGCCTTTACGCTTCTATTTTAAAATGAAATTTCTTAATAATTTAATCATGTTTGTTTGATTTTCTAAAAAGTGTTGTTCAGTTTGTAAAACGTGCATATTAAGAAAATTGAAATTCAATATAGGATGAAAAAAAACGTAGAAATAATATCATTATTTTCAGTGCGGAATACGTACAATACGTTTCAGTCGTTTGGTTTGTCATTCAGTCTTTTCACCCGCTTTCTGTCGTTTGCTGCACTCGATGCCTGTGGCTTGCATTGTTTGGAAAATGTATACTCTGCTAATTAAGCATGGCCGGCTGTAGAAACGGCTCGCACCGACGTCAGCTCCGACAACTGCCGTCACCATTGCCACTGTCTATGGCCTGTTTCTAATTACAACGACATTAATGGTCTGCCTGGATCTGTCTCTCTCTCTCTGCATCGGCCGCATTCAATGGCATGTAATTATAGCTGAGCAATGTGGCGTATAAGTTATGCTTGACTGAGCCAAAGAAGACATTTTCACCAAAGCCTCTTGTGCGCAGTTTTGCCAATTTGGCTAACTTTATTTCGTTTTTGGGCTACGGTTTTTGTGGCTTAAATTAAGTGACGAGGGTTAGGCAGTGAGTGTGCAGCTCGAAAGTTAGGGCAACTGTGTTGCTGCATTTGATTTTTCAATTTTTCAATGAAGCTTTGTGATAAGTTAAATGAACTCGAATTATTTCAATTCGAACTGAACACAAATACGTGCACAGAAACGTTAATAGGGAGGGCAGAAATGAAATAGGTAGTTATACAAATATTATTTGTGCTAGTATCACGACATTGAAGCTTTTTTCATTATGAGTGAACACTTTACAGAATCTGCATTGTCATTTCTTTCATTTTTTTTTTTTTTTTTTTTTTTGTCAAAGCTCTATAACAGTGAAAATAATAATGACTGAAACACAGGGTAGCGTGATTTGAAGTCGGCTCGTGAAATAGATTCATAAATTCATAACTAAATTCATTCTGGGTGTTACACACTTTCACACCAAAAACAAAACCAAGTACATATACCCGTAAACATCTCAGTGAAGGATATACAAATTTCCACCAAATCAACAACCGTTTCTGCTTAACCGATTGATTTTGATGGTGGACAGTATACTTAAAGCTTTTTCTTTAAAAACGTAGTTGACAAAATAAACAACCTCCTTAAAATTTATATTTTGTTGGTAGCGAATATTAACAAAATATAAATAAACCATTACACTCGTGCATGACTAGGAACTCTTAATGCTTTCGGAACAATTCGTCTTTTGCTTCAACGTAAAAGCTGGGAATACACTTTTGCCATTTACCCAAAACTCGCCCATAGATCGATTCAATAGAATTTGCCAGCTAATTTAAATTCATGGTTTACACATCCAATGGCCACGTTGTAATGCAATAATAATAATAATGTTACTCATAGACCATGTGTCAGGGTTTTGTGCTACTAAATAAATATCAGAGGGTTCTGCACGTGCGCCAATGCATATGTGTGAGTGTAGCTAGCATTGTGTCTCTGTGTGTGTGTGGGTTTTCTGTAGGGTGAGTATGAGAAAAGGCCGCAAGCGTTTAACTCAATTCCATTTAGTTACACATGGCGTATACATAACAACCGCATTGGTGCTGTTGGCTGCTATCGTACAAATAACGTATACGTCACGTATCCCAAATACAAATAAAAACACGTTGCTTAGCTACTAATACTGTATTTTCCAACACTGATGCAGCTAGATACGTGCGCATGCTGCACGATTAGAAGCTGAAATTATGCTCAACATTTTCTGCACGAAATCATTTCAACACCACCGCCAAAGAAATTGCATGGAGAACACCCACATGCCCACCCACTCATATATAAGGAAATGAAATTGAAATAGCTGGTGAGCTGTAGTTATTTTTGTTGTTGTAGCCGCTCTGCAGCTGCAGCTGCACTAGAACTTGCAACCCAAAATTTATGCGCTGCTGAAAAGGGAGCGCCGCAACAGCGATGCTGGCAGCGAAAGTGTGGCGCCATTCTGCCAGGATTGCCACGATTTCATTTTCATTGCTTGCTTTATATTAGCGTGCATAGAGAGGAACAAGGAAGTGGGAAGGCAGACAGACAGACAGACAGACAGGCAGAAAGGCAGTGCAACTTTGGGGATTACTATATCTTCTATGCCTTTGAGGGCTTGCATGGCTTTCTTTTTTAAGATATGCAACCTATTCTCTTGCTCGCTCACAGGCAGCCACAAATTGTATTTCGCTCAACGCGTTCAAAATACTATTTATACAAAAATGCTAGAGAAACGAAAAGGTATAGCATACAATGCAGCGCATGATAGTTTTCCATTCTTCTTCTTCTTATTTTGATTATGTATACGCCATTGCCAGCGATTTAGGAACAAACAATTGGTCTGTTGACATATATTTGTATGTGTGTATAGCGTGTGGGTGTGTGTCATGACAAATGTACTAAAATGTTTTTCGTTTAGCTGTTCTGTCACACATTTGAATGCCAAAAAAATACTTATATCTATGTACAGTATACGTAGATGATGAAATGGAATAGATGCTGAAAAAATTAAGCTGATGCAACTGAGCTTTCGGCCATGCATAGCTCTCTAAGCACTGGGGCTCGTCACACATAATTCTCATTATGTTATAGTCCTTTGTGTATGCCGCACTGCACCCAAGAGCTGCCCAGAGCTGTGGCCTGTTATTCACAAATCGTTTGCACGCATTGGGCACAAAACAACAATGCTGTTCCATGCTTCAGAGCAGCGCCAACAGCACCACATCATCAGCAACAACACCATCATCGTCCTTATCATCACGATTATAATCATCGTGAAGCAGGGAGCAGCAGCAACAGCCGCTTAGAATTCTCCCGCTGGGATACACATGCTCCATGCTACAGTTTCCGTTCACTGCATCCCACAATTCCCCTGTTGCATATTTGTGCGGGTGCTTTTGGGGCATTGCCAAAACGCCAAAGACATTTGCATGCATTTTTTAAACAAACCACACACACACACACTCATACACATGCAGACATAACTGCATATCATAAACATGCATTGAGACTGCAACGGGCCTTTATAACTTTAATGAGATTTGGAAAGATATTTTGGCTCTGAGTCTGACAATTTTATAAACTTCTCCTTCTTGTAGATTGAATTTTGCAGAACAGGTGTGAAATTCGAAATGAAGAGAACATAAACGAAATAGATATATTTTAATTCCATTTCACAGATGCAAAGCTTGTCATGATGTTTCTAAGCTTGAACAAGTTTAACAGCTGAAATAGATTGATGTGCAATAAGTTCCCACACATTTGGTTCATTTATAATGATTATATTAGCCTCTTCAATATTTTTTTGCTGTATTCTACTCCCATAAACACTTCAGCAGTTTTAGCATCATATCTTAATTACAATAAAGAACTTTTTAAACATGTTTAAGGAAGTTTAAAATTGGCTCTAACCCAGGATCAATAAATTTACATTTGCGTTTGTAGCAATTCAGAAACAAAGTTCAGAGTTTTCAGACGGCTTATGAAAATCCCAACCTGTCAGAAATGTTGTTGCCCCAAATTCTATTTTAAATAAAAAACGAACAACGCTCAATTATATATATTATAATTATTATTTATACCTTAATTCAAAAGGGACAAACAGATAAATATATATTTACAACATTTATTTATTTATTAATTTGGAATTCATATTCTCCTGGAAGAAGACTAAAATTTACTGCTTAGAAAATATAAAACACGAAAGACACGTTTATTATATTATTATTTATTCTTTATTTATTTATTTATTTTATTTATTTATATTTATTTTTATTATATGGTTACACATAAAAAAAATCGCTCAATTTTAAAACTTAGTGTATACCGGTGAAACGCCATTGGCCGCCCAACATAGACGAGGTTGTTGCCGAGAGTTTTTTATTAGCAAAGCAAATGGGAATTTATGAATATTTTTGGATCTTTAATTTTACCTAATAAGATTTATATATTAATTGTGTTCTTATTCTATGCACTCTCTTTGCAGCTGCCCATATTTGGCCACAACCATTAATCCAGTGATACCCATTGTGGGGGCCGTTTTATATTTCTTTACAATGAGTTCCTTGCTGCGTACAACATTCACAGATCCTGGCGTTATACCGCGTGCCTCCAATGACGAGGCTGCCTATATAGAAAAGCAAATTGGTAGGTAAAATGTTCTGTCTGCAATACGATTGCATATATGTATGTATGTACAAGTAGTAGGTGTGTAAGTACAAGCATGTGTGCATAGAGGGGCACGGCTAAAACAAATATGAGCAAGGTCGTTATACTTAATACACCCAACCATATATTTGTTTTCACTTCATTAAAGTTATGCACAGTGTGTGTACGTGCGAGTGTGTGGGCTTAGAAGGGTGAGGGTGTATGTGTGTGCCCGCGCTTGTAAAAAGTAATGAGCATGGGCATGACATAGAAAGCGAAATAAAGCCCACACACCAACATACACACATACATATATACACAGATATGTATGTATGTATGTAGTATAAATATGTTTGTCTGAATGTTAGTATAAAAATCATCAAAGCCAACGTTGCGTTTGTGCACACTAATGAGTTGTAGTTGTTGTTGTTGTTATTGTGACTGCCGTTGCTGCTGTTACTGCTAACTGTTGACTGCTCTGTGTAAAATATGTATTTAAAATGTGGAAATTTTTTTAAAAATTTGTTCTTCTACTCTTCTACTTGCATGTCAACAACGCTGCTGCTGCTGATGCTGCATTTCCGCTGCCACGTGCACTTCCGTTTCCTGGCACTCTTAATGAGCGCAGAAGTGCCAAACTCACTCAACAGCCCCACATATCGACCCCCGCCCCGCACCAAGGAGGTGCTCGTCAAGGGACAGACGGTCAAATTGAAATATTGTTTCACCTGCAAAATATTTCGACCGCCACGCGCATCGCATTGCAGTCTTTGCGATAATTGTGTGGATCGTTTTGATCATCATTGTCCTTGGGTAAGTCAACTGTGCGCTAATTCTAATGACATGTCAGCTGAATGAATAAATGAATGAATGAATGAACGAATGCGCGAGTGAGTGCGCCGAATGAATGTGTGCCTCCCCCCTGCCTGCCTGCCTGCCTGCCTGCCTGCTAGCCTGACATTGAGCTGCCGCCGCAGCCGTGCACATTAATTTGAATGTGGGGCGCATGGCCTACACACACACACACACACACACATACACAGGGGTGCACAAAAACAACAACTGTCACTTGCGCCGACGCCCGCAAGCCAACCTCCACAAGCACTCCAACGAACAGTGATCCAAATATACAAACTAGTTATTTTTAATTTAAACAGTTTACTTGATATGGTTATTTGCTTAAAGTTTTTCCTTTGTTATTTTCCGCTTATTACTCATTTATTTATTCATTTAAAATAGCTCGAGTAATGTTTTGTTTACCGTAGTTTAGTAAGAGGTCACATGAGATCGCAGTACCTCAGCGCTTTAAAGCACAAAAAGGCTTTGTTTTAAATGTTTTGAAAACATTAGATACTAAAGGTTCATGGACGATGTTAATTATTAAACTTCAGATCAAAATTGAACATTTTATTCAGCATATCTATGAATAAACATTACCTTATTTCTCCGGGTGTTTTCTTTGTAGTCCCTCTTATATGTAGAGGTGGGACTTTTACATGACAAAACCTTTGTTTCCCTTTACTATAGAAATGCAGTTACTTGCATTAAATATAATGGGAAAAACAACTTTAAAATAAAACTTATCAATTGTTAAAAAATCGAACTTTCCCGCAGAAAAAAAATTTAAATCTGAAATTCTAAAAAACCTTAAAACCTTATAAGATCACATGCAAGCTAAGCATAATATTTCAGAACCTTTAATTACATTAAGATTTTCAGTTTCACAAGCACAAAATTTGTTAATAATACTACATATATAATGAAAACATAAACTAAGTAGATCAAATAGACTGTGGCTATCGAAACCAATCGTATCTATCTAGAACAGCCAACAGATAATTAATTAAGTAATTTTTTAGATTTTCCACATAGATACTTAGCGCTCTTGAATTGGAAAAGTAATACCTGCGAGTAGGAGTTAGGAATAAGGTCACTGTGCCCCCTCTGTTTGGCAATGACAGTTGGCCAAGCGAGCGCGCTCGGATGCTGACTTTAACCCAATTTCTGTGCGAAAGCGTTGAGGTTGCTAATTTTTTAGGAAAAATAATTTCCAGCGAAAAGCGTGCACGACATGCTGAAAACATGAAATGGAGAAAATGCTGGCCCACTAAAGCCAGCCCGCGTTATAGTTTTTTGTCACATGTAGCCTGGCAAACACAAAAAAACAAAAAAAAAAAAAAGCAGCATAGAATGAAAAGCGAATTTCCCGCGAGCGCCTAAAAGATGCAACAAGATGTGGCGTCAGTGGCAACGAACCACGAGCCGGCGGATGTGCGCATGGCTGGGCGCGACCGACGGACCGACCAAGCAAACAAGACCGCACACACATACACTTAAGTAGCCGCACTTGTGCCTGTATGTACGTGTATGTGTTCAACATTGTGGGGCTCCCCTTTTGCATTAAGTGCAGCGCGTCTTTTCAGGCAACAAAGTCATCATGACTGTTGTTGTTGCTGGTGTTGGTGCTGATGCTGGTGTTGGTGCTGATGCCACCGCCGCCGCTGCTGCCTCTGATGAGTGGGTTTTGAATTTTTCATTTGCTGGCGAAAGCGTTTTGTACGCCACCTACCAACAACGCAAAGCTCCCCCTGCATGCCCCCACCACGAGCCGCCGCGCCGTTAGCCTGAAGGTCGCCTTGTCTTTGACTTGCTACTTGCCTATAGAACTTTGCAACAACATAGAAAAGGGGTGTTATAAGTTTGTGCCGATGTTGGCTGTTGGCTATGCGTTGAAGCAAACTTTGCACAACCCGCAAAGTTAATGCATAAATATTTTGATTTCTTTTAAGGATTAGCATCTCTCTGTTAGGCACTTAGCTCACATTTTCCCATCTCAGTCATAACTTAATTCACTGCATACTAAAATGTTGAATACTTAGCCTCTGCACAGGTGAAGTGTAGGACAATAACTAAAGGTATTGATTAAATGTATTGCCCTACACATCATTGCATGTATTTGAGTTTGTATCTTTGTACTTTGACGATTGCTTTTAAATTCGGACAAAACACTGTGAAGAAAATACGTAAATGATTTATATCAATTATTTTTACACAATGTATATTTTTTAGAGCCTCAAAACTTTTAAAATCGGTTTGAAATGTTTATTCTTGTACATTCATATCTAACACGCATAAAGGATAGGGTACATCAAATTTAAAATCAGAAGGCCGAACACACTCTCCATGTAATCAAAACAATCAGCAAGCTATATATAACATTTAAACACTGGACGGTATATTAAGCTATGGTCGTCTGTCTTGTTTCTGATTCAAGCACTATCTCTCCATTAGACTTAAAGCTTCTGCGTTAAAACATTGCAGTTGACCTAATTGCATTTTTATACCCCTTTATCAATCTTTAAGGCCATTTTTGCTTCGATGCGTCCTCTGTTAGTTGCGGTCCCTTTTAATTTGGTGCGGCTACACATTCCAGAAATGGTTTTTTAACGCCCCACATTTTTCCCAATATACTTGCACGCCCTAATTAGGCATCAAGGGACAATTAACCCTACTGTGTGGTATGCTGCCCATACTCTCTACATGTGCATAAAGATGTTTTTTGTTCGATATTGATAATTATTTATCTTTATATTTTCAGGTGGGAAATTGCGTGGGGAAGCGTAATTATCGCTTCTTTTATTTGTTTCTAGTCTCATTGGCATTTTTAGCTGTATTTATATTCTCATGTTCTGTGACGCATTTAGTTTTATGTGAGTATATCTCTGAAGTGACTCAGAGACTGGGATCATCTAATTAAATGACTTCTATATTCGTTTACAGTAATGAAAACCGAGAATGAGGTCTTCGAAGTAATAAAGAAGGCGCCCTTTACTGTGATTGTTGTGTTCATTTGTTTCTTTTCGATATGGTCGGTAATTGGACTGGCTGGTTTTCACACATATCTGACCACAAGCGATCAGACAACGAATGAAGATGTGAGTGGAAAATATTATTTGAAAGATACAATAATGATTGAAGTGCAACAATATGATATATTTAGTTTAAGTTTAATATTGATATGCAAATTTGATAAAAAAAAAATTGAAAAAGGATGCCTAACAATAATCTTAGACAAATAAAATTTGGTTAAGATTGGACGTAAAATCGTATATCTACATTAAAGGCGAGCCGTATTTAATATGTCTGTATACTTCTGTCTGTATGTATAATATCGAGAGTCAATTAACTTGGTATGCATTTTCTTCTAAATCATGTGGAATATGTCTTCAAAACATTACCGAACAGCCGCATCTTGCATTTATTAATTAGGATTAAAAGTGATTATTTTTTAATTGTATTCTTTCGCTCTCGTTATAATGATTTATTTTGAGTTTTACTTAACAACTGAACTAATATTGATTATTTTTGGGAAAACAATAAAACATATAAAGTAGTAATTATTCTTAAAGATTTATTTGTTTGATCCAACATAAACCTCAACTTATAATTTTCCCTGCCTTCTTCATAAGGAATAAGGACAGAATTTTTATATGTGTACTATAAACTATAAGCCAAACCGAACCCCTGTAGTACAGTTTTGGGTTAAAAACACATCCTTAAAAAAATATTTTCACGCAAAATTACAGCTTGAGTTTTATTTTTGATATCAAAAAATTGAGTTGAGTTGTATTTTTGATATTAAAAAAATTAAACTCAAAGAATAATCAATTTTTTACGAGTTTTTTTTTTTTTTGCTCAAAAATAATGATTACGAATTAAGTTATAAAGTAAAACTCAAAATTAAGATAATCCTAAACAAGATAGAACGCTACAGTCGAGCAAGCCCGACAGTAAAATAGCCTGTACTCTCCACAAAAAAGAAAAATTAAAAAAAAAAAATTTTTTTAAAAAAATTAAATTATTAAAAAAAATTAATGAATTAATTAATTAAATTAAATTAGAATATATGTTTATGTTTAGTTTTAACAGCATACATTTACATCACGTACCTATGCGTGTTTATATGCGTGTATGTATGCAGCACAAAGTTGAACCAAAGCAGCAACAACAACAACAGCTGCGGGCAGCGCTGCCGACAGAGGCAGCGCATGAGCAGCGATTTTACTTATGGCTATAACTTTCTTCAGAATTGACCTATCATGATGAAATAAATCATAAATCACACGGACACATTAGTACTAACTGGATGTACCTACCAAAATTGATTTCAAAATTCCGAGAATTACGGAAGTTATAAGAAAAAACACGAATTGCGGGGGAGTGGGGGGGTGCATCGAAAAAAAACTCAAACTCGTACTTTCTCGGTCTTAGGAGAATATGGAAACCAAGTTTGGTTATTCTAGCTCTTATACTTTCTGAGATCCTTGCGTTCATACGGACAGACGGACAGACGGACAGACGGACAGACAGACGGACAGACAGACGGACAGACGGACGGACGGACAAGGCTATATCGACTCGGCTTCTCATCCTGATCAAGAATATATATACTTTGTGGGGTCTGCCACGCCTCCTTCTGTGTGTTACATACATGCGCACAAAACTAGTATAGCCTTTCACCCTTTGGGTACAGGCTATAAAAAGGATTTTGGTAAATTCCTCGCTTTCTCATAGCGAACGATTTTTTCGGTAAAAAAAAAAAACAAGTATTTATTATACTATGCTCGCAATCATAATTCAACAACGGTTTCATTCCTTGAAAGTGATTTACCTTCAAAAATTATTATTGTAGACTTATCAGTAATTTAAGGGAATCTTTGGATTGCCTTTAACCCCACGAATAAGATCACAATTTAACAGTTAAAGCTTTTTTTCTTCCCCAAACAGCTCAAGGGCTCGTTTTCATCCAAGGGCGGTCCGCGCACACAGAATCCCTATTCGCGTGGCAACATTTGCCTGAACTGCTGCCACATATTGTGTGGTCCCATGACGCCCTCGCTGATCGATAGGTTTGTAGCATCACGTTCAACTATAAGTTTTATTCAAGTGCCCAATATTCTCATTTTGATAGACGCGGCATTGCCACCGATGAGTATATCCAGCAAATGCAACACCACCATTCCAGTCCGCGTCATCCGCTTAGTGATGTGATGAGTGGCGGTGGCGCCCACCTGGTAACCACTTCGCAGCCCATGTTGGGCGGCATAAGTGGTGCTGGGGGCGGCATCAGCATTGGTGGTGCGGAACTGAAACCGCGCTATTACGATGAGGTAAGTTGGCGAACTTTCTTCCCGCACTTTCCTTTTGTACACTGTGATTTTTGCTCTCTCACTCTCTGTAATACCGAACTACTAAACTCTAAATGTCTCTCAGCACCTGTGCTTGCTTATAAGAAACAAAAAGAAAAATCTAAACTAAAAATCGAACAATCGAAAAACCATAAAATCTCATACAAGAGTTTTTTACGCACCTCATTTTGATGCTCAATTTGTTCTCTACTTCTTTTATTTTTGCATATACGTTTTTGTAACTAAACCAAACCACAATAACTACAACAACAACTACAACAATCAACCACACACCACGTTAAACTACAAAAACAACAACTATGAACACACCTGATAAACAATTGAAACCGTCGATAAACTACAATCAACAACCAAGTCAAATCCCTCCTCTTCGACCCTGGAGGGCAATGGTTTGGCCGCTGGTGCCGCCGCAGCTGCCAATGGCCATCATGGCAACGGGTTTGACAGGCCGCCCAGCTACGATATGTTACAGAACGGTAAGTCCCGCAGACAGCAGCATCAAAGGTGCTCGCTGCAAACCCTACTACCCGCTAGCGCCCAGCAGCAATTTAAGGCCAACAAGCACAAGCAGCTCAAGCAGCAGCGCGAGCATCAACACAAGCAGCAGCTTGTGGCAGCGGAGCTGCAACAGCTGCAGCATGAGACGCACAGCGGTCTGGGCACGCCGCCCGCGCTGATGCGCTCGCCCGCGAGCACCTCCTCGTACCGCCTGAATCTGAAGCGTTCGCTGCACTTGCCACTCACTCCATCGTACGATGATGCACGCAACTCGCCACTGCCCCTGTTGCACCATCATGTGCACTCACAGCACACCACAGCCATAGGTAGCGTGTCTGCTGCAGCAGCAGTTGCCGCAGCGGCCAGTGGTGGTGCTAGTGGTGCTAGTGCTGGTGGCTGTGGCGGGTCCTCCTCCTCGACAACAGCACCAACATCTGCCTCTATAGGAACAACAACAAATACAGCAGCTCTGCCACCACCACCGACGGCGCCGCGTCGCCCCTCATCGCTGCAACTGCAGGCCAGTGCCGTGCACTCTGCCAGCAACACAACCCTGACCACCATACACACAACGGCGCCACAGCCGCCGGCACCTAGCGACTTTAAATATTATTCCCCGCAACGTAGCACGGAATCGAAATTTTTGCGGAATTTTGCGTTCCCGAAATCGGCGCGCAGCATGCGACGCCAAAGTACACAGAGCGTAGACTCACAAAAGGTCAATATAGCTGGATACCACCCGCTGCCTATGCGGAAGCCGTATAAACATCAGGAGGTCATGTTCGAACTTAAATCACCGACCAATCGACTGACCATTCGCGAATGTGATTTTGGCGGTGGCGGCGAACCCTGCGACGACGATCAGTCGATCAAGGACAGCCAGATCTTTCGTGTTAGTAAACGAAATCTTTATATGAATCATCGATCGCCATGGAAGGAGCGCGATCGCTATTCGAATCTGTACGAATACTCGTTCAACATTGATCTCAATTCGATTATTGAGGATGCGGCGGGCAGCGATTCGTCATAGTACTACGCAGCAGCTGGGGCGCAAGAAAACACTGCCGCCGACAGCGACCCCACAATGGTCGCTGTCCTTGTTCACTACTTTGATTGGTTGTTAAACGTTGTACATAATAGACAAATACTACATGTTGTAGGCCATCATGATAATGGCGCGACAGTTATTGCCAAATTTTCGTTACTGTTACCGCTGTTCTCAGTCTAGGCAGCACGAATTATAAAATACTGCATTTATGCGAAGATCGAAATATCTGATTTAAATATTTTTGGCATTCAGTTATCTTTTGTGATAAAACAAACATTTAAAAGGATTTAAAGGATTGCGAAAACGAGACCAAAGCAAAAAAATCATGTTTGGATTTCTTATAAAAACGAATCAATTAGTTCTTTTCAAGAAGCTCTTTGATTGTATTAATTACTGATATTCTTCAACACAGCCATAAACTTTCCCTTATAGAATCATTTTCTCTTCTACGAGCTTTCTTCAAAGTTAATACTAATCTAGCGTTCGTCTTTGCGCTTCTCCTCTCAAGTAGGTTGTTGAACAACAAAAGTGTGTTTTTAGTAGGAATAGTAGAAATGATATTTACTCTTATAAGTATATCAGATATCGGAAACACGACCAGGAAAATTTCACAATATCTACTGCATCGCTCATTGGCAACAAAGTTAAAAAAGACCAAAATACATATAAAAAGTGATCGTTTTTCAGATTTAGGTAACATTAGTCAAATTTCAAGTTTTCAGGATTTGTAATTCACATATTCGTGTATTTCATTTGAATTCTTAAGGAATTGAACTAAATTTAAGAGCTAAACTCGCCAGTTTCGATCTTCACATAAACAAAAATAAATGAAAACACTTTTGGCTTCCATGACATGGACTAAGTTCACTTTCGTTGTTAGGCGCACTAGAACGTAACGTTATTATTTTGCACGCCGTCGAGATTTTGTGTTTTTATTACAAGTATTCTAAATTTTGGACACACACTTACACGAATACATAACATACTCTACATACACCCGTAGCGCCCAGAATGCCGTAACCAGCCCAACCAAATCCCTTGAAAGATGTTTAAAAAAAATAGAGAATACAAAATTGAAACAATCGAAACCCAAAGTTGGTTCATACAAACTTTTCCGTTTATGTAGCAGCTGTTTCCCCCCAGACGGAACACGCTGGCACTTGGGGTGCCCCCCACCCTTGGGCACCCGGAGGGCCAGCGTGTGTCCAAGTCGTCAAAATTACGTACATATATCGAACTATACATAACCCAACGCCGCCACCTCCAATAGCGAAGAAACCAGCAACCAACAACCAACAACAAATAACCAACAACTAGACACAGCATTTCCCTGTGCATGAATTTTTGAATTATTGTAGTTTATAAATGAATTTACTTTTAATTTGTGAATTGTTTTTAATTCAGATGACAACGGTAAACACTGGCTTTAATGAACAGCCGCTTAACATTTTCGGCAGTCACTTGTGCACTTACACTTGGCTTACATTTAATTTTTAAGGTTTCAATTCTACGAAAAAGCAAAAAACTTTAACTAATTAAAACAAACTACTACTACTTTTGTATCCATACAAGAGAGTAAAATGTGTCGTAGGAAAATAAATTTAAAACATGTATTTAAAAAGCCAAACAACTGCCATTTATTCAACAACAACAACAACAAACAATTTTGTTAGAACTTTTAAGTTCGTTTTATACAACGTGTGAGAATCAATAAGAATTTGATATGAATCAATTTTAAGCAGTAATTTTAATGAATTTCCGAGAAATGCACGCTAACATTTTAAATACAAAAACCAATACTAAACCAATAAGATTTGCCAAGTGACTGCTAAGTAGGTCATAAAAAATACGTTTACTGAGTAAAACAAACAATACTTCTAGCTAACTACCATATACAAATAAGCTGAATGCATAAACAAAATTGAAGCATTGCTATTTAAAATAATAAAAACCAAGAAATAAATGTATAGTATATAAGATCGTCGGTCTGGGGTAGAACATCTACTTTCGACATCAATGGACAACAGTGGATCGCAAAACCGATCTTCCGTAGCAACATTAGAAGTTAGAGCCACTCGACCAAACTGAAAGAAAGTTAAACAGTTTCGCTTCTTTTTTTTATTTTTTCAGCAAATTTGAAGTTCTTTTTCTGAGATGTCAGTTAATTATCAGTTGTTCGATGTATTTAGTTCAATATTTCAGCTAGGGAAAGATAGATATGTTGAGTTTATTTATTGCTTAACAGTTGATCAATTAATCGGATTTTGTACAATTATAACCAATTGAGCGTTTTATAACATAATTGGAATAGCTGAATAGTATTCTTATGCGTAGTTAACCCCTTCCTGGCCATTGTAGCTGCTTAGCTACAGAAAGTTATCCATACACATATGTATTTCCAAGCAGAAAACAAGAAAGTAATGCTAGAGTCGAGCGGGTTCAACTCTTAAAAAAAAAAACTGTGGCTAAACATTTTACATTTTTAGAAATAGCCCAATTCTCTTATGATAATCAGAATTGTATTTTCGTATTTTGAGCATGTCAGGGAGAGTTTTAGATGAATGAGAGATTAATTGAAAATGAAAATTTGATCGATTTAAAAATTCTCAATTGGCCAGAGTAGGAAGTGCAGATACAGTGCCAATTGAGTATTTGAAAGTCAGTTAATAAGTTATATCCGAAACCGACGATCCCATTATACATAATCAAAAGATTGACTGCATGCCCGACATCATCTATTGGAATTCGTATGTACGCATAGGTTTTTAAAAACGCAATTGATTAGAACAATAAGCAAGCTTACAGAGTAATATGGCGCATGCGCAACTCGTGTGCAGTCTTCAAGGCTTTAAATGTTGCGCATTAACAATACATTATATGAGTTCCTTTTATAAATACATGAATAATGGTAATAGCAACAAAATATATAAAATTATGTATGTATTTCATGTTTCAATCTAGGCATGGAAAGCGTGTGTTAAAAATATATATATATATAAATCAATTGATATATACATAGATATATACCTAAATGTTGAGCAATAATGCGTAAATTAGCGTATGTTTATACCTAAATGAATGAAATGTTAATTTTAAAGCAACATACCGACATACATACAAACATACATACATAGTACAGACATACTTGTATGTATGTATTACCAACAAGAACTACTCAAGAAATTTATACACGAAAATTAAAAACCGAATTGTTAAATCGAATGAAAACAAACAATATGTACTATAAACCAAAAAAGGAGCATGTTGCGCTGAAGAAAGACTAGCAAGGAGAAAAGAAAAGAAAAACAAATGAAAATAGTTTGGTTTTTTGGATATTTGCTTCTTGGAAAGGAAAGCACGTGTAAATCGCAAAGAGTTTAATTCGACTGTCGCAGTAACGGTACTACCTTTCTCAAAAGCAAACTTCTAAAAAAGAACATCCTATTAATTGGATACACTCACACGCACAACAACAGGAATATGAATAGGAAATCAGGCATACGGTACAGTCAACAACATTAAAACTACTTAGAACTGGCCGTCATGGTTGAATTTCAGTTCGCGTCCATTTTCTTTCGATTACATTTTTTTTGTTAATTTTTTTTTTATTTTTATTTTATCTTCAAGGCAAAATTGCTGCTGCTACTCTATAATCTGAAGCGCGCTAGCACGTTTGAATCGGTTGTATTCAATAAAATGAATTTGATTTCTTTCTCGTTTTCTACACACACTAATGCAACCTCTTTCTATATCTTTCAATACATTCTAACTTGACTTGACTCCAAATAAATGGAAAAATGCAATGCAAATGATTGTATTGTGAATTAATTAAATAAATAAACAATGATAACTATTTGAAACCGCAATTGAGGGAAAGTTTTTCACGCAAGTGCCGCTAGATAAAAAATATACATTTTAAGCCTTAATTGGGTGAGTTGACTCTGAACAAAAGACTTTTTGTTGTTGTATGTAATAATAATGTTGATGACAATAATAAATTATATTTACCTTAGCAGTTTATGTGAAGAAAGTGCATAAACAAAAAAAATTATTAATTCAATTATGTGCCACATTTTAATTTTGTTTTCCTTATGTTTTTCTTTCCTTTTTGTTTTTGCCAGCGCATATAGCTAATAATTCCTGAATAGGCAGCAAAATTTGAACTCTTTGGCTGTAACACAATTAATTATTATTTTTATTTGCAGCATTTAGTTATGCATTTCCCTCATACAAAGTCGAGGAAAATCTCACGCATAAATACTTAGCATCAATTATTATGCTGTAGCCAATATTTGCAGCAAGTTAACAAACACACAAACACTCAGAGCAACACATCCAAACCAGAAACCCCTCGAATATAAAGCAAATTGTTTATTTTGTTTAAATATGTACCTCTCTAAAATAGTATTTTGTAAAATATTTGGCCTTTGTTGATCCATTCGATGTGCTTATCAAAAATTTCAAGCATGCTTTCAATGTGTTTTAATTGGCACTTCGTTACATTTACAAACATATAACATAATATACGTACATATATAGTTACATATACATATTGATAGTACAAATTAGTAAAGTAAACTCAATTTTACGTTCAATTTCACTTCCAAATCGTTCAACAGAAATTACCTGCCGTTGTAAATAATAACTGGAGCTGACGCTTCGCTTAATTAAGTTATTAAGTTTTTATAAACATACATACGTTTTATATACAATTTTTTGGATCTTCCTGCAAGTAGTTTGTAAATTAGAAAGTGGTTTGCGAAGCTCGTCCTCTGAAGGAGAATTAAAGGCAAAGGGACGTCGAAGATTCTGTTTATAACCTGTACCCATAGGATAATCAGGGTATATTATGTATGTCATATGCCGAATGAGACATATCCTGTTTTCACACGGCTGATTGGTTCCAGAAACAACCGTGTAAAGAAGATATTGATCATATGAAAAAATAGGAGATTCGTTCCTTATCTATAACGAAATATACTATACAAGTATATATATATTTTTAATTTTTTTTTTAGGTGTATATTTCTTTAGAACTTTAGGAACCAATTACCTATTTTTCCATATGATCAATGTATTTTTGTACACGTTGTTTTTTTGTTTCTGGAACCAATCTACCGTGTAAAAACAGAATTAGGTGTATATATACAAATATTCTCAATCAGCATGACAAATCGGTATAGTCATGTATATTCAATTATATCCGTTTGTGGAAATTTTATTCAAATCGGTTAGTTTTAAGAAAAGTCATTGGCGAAACAATTTGAATCAAGTACTACGCCAGTAAACTGCAGGGGGGATTCGCTCTTCTTGTTCCTTCTGATATAACTCAGTTCTGGGTACAGGATACTGCACTGTCGGGCTTGCTCGACTATAGCCTTATCTCTTGTTTTATACAGGAAAAATCAACTATTATATTTATTTCCTTTCTCCATAAAGGAAAATAAGATTTGTATTTTGTGTTTTAAATGTTGTCCCCGCGATTATAATGCAGCTTTAATAAAACGAGATTCAAATACCCAGATTTTTTGTTCAAAATTATTTGGGATTTTGTTTGTTTCTGAGAAATATTGGAAAGTTGATTGGAAAGTTTTACAAATTCCATTTTAGTTAATAACACCCAGCCCTACTCGCATATATCACAATGTAGCATTAAAGCTTGCAGGATGATTCTTTCAGATTAACATTAGCATTAAATGCATCGCTAAGAGCCCATCTGTTAATTTCGAAACTGTATTATCTTTGCATTAGTTTGGTTTTTGAACCCCACCGTCTAAAAATTGTGCACATTGAGGCTTGAAATGCTGCCTTCTGTAAACTGTTGAACATAAATACACAGACACGTAGGCAGCAGCCTTATGCACCAATGTCCCAAATTATGTTTATAATTTATTCCATCATTTCTATGTTAATTTAATGGTTTAGTTCTTAAAACCAATTGTAATTATATTTATAGTATACTTTAATTTGCCGCCTCCTACCGCCCTTATTTGCATTTTGAAATAGTTTGTTATATCAAGCAGAAAAACAGACCAACAAACAGACACACGCACCACACCACACTCACATACATATATACAAACATATATACACAGTAATAAAAAAGACAACTAGCAAAAAGTATTTGGAATCAAAATACGAATTTTTAATTAGTTGGCAAATTTGTTGTAATGAGAATTTTAACAATTTAAATGTTTCTCATTCATTATGCATACAAAATACGAAAATTGTTTTTTGACTAATCTCACTCTCTCCCTCTCTGTCTCTGTCTCTCCCTTTCTCCGTCTCGCTCCCACAGGTAATTCCAATAGTTTAGCACAGCTGGTGGATAATGAAATACCTCTGGCGCAAATGGACATGCCCGCCTACTCACAACAAACGGCCGCCCAGTCCCGTCAGTTCCGGCACCACAAGCAGCGTCAGCTGTCACAAAATGGCGGCTGTGGCAGCGGTGGTGCAAACGAGCTGGGCTTCGAAAATCGTCTGGCCAGCAGCGAGGACGAGCTGGACGATGCAGAAGTTTTGGTTGTGGGTGGCACGGAAGTGGTGGCCGCCGTAGCTGCCATTGCCGCGACAAGCAAGGCACGGGAACTACGCAATCGCAGTGGCAGCTACAATAATCTGTTCGATGTGAGCTACGATGGCAGCAATGTCCTCAATGGAACCTTAGAAGGAGGCACTGCAGCAGCAGCCGCTGCCGGCGATGGCTATCAGCCTTCAACGGCAGGAGCGGCTTTGCTAGCCGCAGCCATAAATGGAGACCACATGCTGCCCAAATCCATCTCACAAACGGAAAATATGTATAGCAATGTGCCTCCAACGACAGCGACAATGGCAACCACGACAGATGCCACCTTGCACGTCTACTCCAACATTATTGATGAGCGCGCTCAGCAGCAGCAGCAGCAGCAGCAACAACAACAGCAGCAGCAGCAACGGAAGCAGAAACAACAGCAGCTATCGACCACCAATGTGCTGTCCTCCACACTGCTAAGCGATGATCTCGACCTGGACGATCCGGTTAGTGCCTCTTTTGTGGCCTCACACAGCAGCGGGCCGCGCAAATCCGCTGGCGATGGCGCCGAGCATGCCAAGTCGGCAGATCGACTGCGAATGTTGCTTGACACAACCATGATTGACACGGCTCTAGATCTGGACAGCTTGGATGGCTCCAGCATGGGCAACAGCTCGCAGTCGTGCTTGGTGAAGGCACCCAAAGGCAGCAGCAATGCGCCCATTGTCTGATTTTTCTGGTGTGGGCGTGGCATGTACATACATAATTTCTTTAACTTTCGCCAGCAGCCGTAGTGGCAGCGAGCGAGTATTAATAATTTATTTTAATGCCTTGTATGATTTTATTATAAACATTTTGTTTTAATTTAATTTAACTCAATTAACGCACGAAAAGAATAATGCTAATACTATTTGAATGCAGAAACTATTGATTTAAAAACAAACACAACTAAAATATTACCTTAAAGCGTTACGCAAATTTAAAGCAAATTGAATAAATAAACGATAAAAATAAGAGAACATGTAAAACATTAATATATACATACATACAAAATGTGGTGAACAATGTTAACAATTCAAAAGGCATTAAAAACAAAACAAAAACAAAAAATATTACAAATAAAAAAATATATATGGAAAAAACGTATATATGTATACATATATGGAAAAACTGTTTATACAATACACGCATATATATGTAACATTACAAATATATATATATACAGACATAGATAGTTATAGCCTATGTATAATTTTTTATATTTAAGTTTTTACAACAACGAGCAAACCTGTTTCTTTATTTAGAGTTTATTACGATTTTCAGTAATAAAAGGAAAAATAAACAAGTCGCATGCAATATGAAATATGAAAAGATAAAAAGCAAATGTTAACAGCTTAAAAGGTAAACAGTGTGGTGTATTAATTGTTCATAAATTAAACATAGTGTGTATTTTGCGTGGTGTCAAATGTTATGTGAAGCATGGGTCGAAGTCTACATAGTATTCGTAATGCAAACAATATATAAAAAAATAAAGAAAACAAGAAAATGTTAAACGTATGTATGTTTTGCGAAACTAACGAACTACAATTATACAAAGAAATACAAATTATGAATAGAGAAAATGAAAAGTAAACTAGTTTTTTTTAATATTGGACGATTAACTCAAAAGTTGGTTGGCGCCGAAGTGATTATAAAATTGTTCAGATCGGAGAACATAACCTTTCCATTTTCCATTCCTATATTACAAAAAGAACGTCACCAGACAGGTCATTTAAATAAAACGACAAAAACGGCAACTTTCAAACATATATGTATAACTAATATCCATTCCTTTAATGTTAGAACAATTTCCTTTTTTTTTTGTATGCCAAAATGTTTAAAAGTGCGGGAATAAATTTTAATTTTGTTTGCATAACCTTATACCAGATGGCGCTTTTAGTTACAGGGTGATTCAGCACCTTGTGAAACATGAACTGGCTCAATAAAGCGGCAACAAGTTTCGATTGATGGGCGCACTTATCGGTGTCCCTTGAAAATGCGAACGGCTGCGAAATTCAAATAATAATAAGCGTTGGTGTTTTGTAAGTTTTTATTTTATTTAAAAAGTACACGACATTTACATCGAGTTTGTGGTATTATTAATCAATATGCCTTATATGGTATAAATTATGCATTTTTTAGTGCTGAAGACTTGCAAGGTATTTTTAATTTATTTTAAAAATATTTATATTTATAAATTACTAATTTGTAATCTGCCAAGCAATGTGCAATGTCGTTTTTTTTCCGAAATAAAAACCAAACTAACCTTTAAATGAAATGGCAAAGTGTGCCGGAAGTTAAGTATTTGTATATATAAATATGTATGTATGTACGCAGACTCCCATAGTTAAGGCAGGTTTAAGCTATATTTGATTTGATTATTAGTAGCTAGCTCTTTATATCTTTTGCCTATTCCAGCATTTGTGTGTCCTGTGCTTATTACTCTTTAATTTAAGTGCAAAATATGTGCGCATCTATTTTTAGTGTTGTTTATATGTATTTTAGTTTCTGTATCTACTCTGGTAGATACATATGTGGTTCGGGGGCTTTCAAATTTATTTGAAATACATCATTAGTCTTTCGAGCACATTATAGTTACTTATAATTTAAACAATATACATTTGAAACTAAATTGACCAAAAAATATAGAGGTGTGCCAATTTGAGCAATAAAGCATATAGATTGCGCGTAAGATTTGGGAAAACGTTTACAAATGAACACAATTGTAAGCAATTGCGTCTGCCTTTTCATTTCCATTCCAGTTCGTGGAACGAGAAACGCAATATCGTTCATTTAAATAGTACAAATTAGACAAACGTTCGCTTAAGTTTAAAACTGCCCAGCAGCAACTCGCCGCAATTCAGATTGAAGTTTCGCTTCCAGATTTATCGACGATAGCGACCCAAATAGGCCTTGCAGTTGGGGCACGTGTGATGCACATCCATGCAGTCGTCAATGCAGCAGGGTATTAGGCAGCAGCCCAGCCAGCAGCTGTAATTAGAGGCGATCAGAAATCAGACAAATTGTTCAGCATTTGGGCCACATTAATATTTCTTATTTACCCCAGCAAGGCAATAACAAAGCCGGACAGATAGGCAATCATCCCGGGTTCCGTGCGTGTAGTTGTCTCGATTTCCGCATGACAGGACGGACATATCATATGTGTGGATGTGCGACTAATTGGCACCACTGTGGTCACAATTGTGGCATTTGTGGCCACCGCGGCGGGCGCCGGTATGGGCGTGTATGGTCCCACCGGCTTAACTCCACCCATGGCCTCCTGGTAGGAGGGTGGTGCCGATGGTGGCGGCACATACGTGAATTGTGGCGGAGCACTGCCTGTGGACTTGCTCATCTTCTACGGCTAGTGTAGCTAAATGCGTTTAAACAGAGCTGCAAAGAGATGAGAGAAGAACCAAGTGTCAATAAATTTGTTTAATACAGCAGAACGACACAACCGGGCGTTTCTCTCTCAATGCCGAGCAAGCCTTCATCGTCTCCGGTGACTCATCTTGGCACTCTCACTCACACAAATCACTCAGCATTTGAATTCAACACAAAGCGCCCGTAATGTGAAATGTTTATAGAGAACAGAAATATTATTTCTTAGTAAATTGGTTTAAAATTAATTTTCTACTAATGTCAAATGGTGTGAGGCCTACTCACAATGCTTATTTATAAGATATAAACTTCTATCGTTTTTCAACTAAGCAGTGCCAATTAAAGCATGAAAGTTCCAACACAATCTGAAGTAACAAATAATGTCCACAAACGTGAATCTAGCTGAAGTTGTTTTATTTCTGTCTGTTTACTGATTTTACATCGCATAATAGCCCGAAATATAAATGAATATGAAAAGCATATACATATTACCTTTCTATTTAATAATTCAATTGGAATACGTTTATTTTTTTGTTAGCTGTATAAGACTTTATTCTACTTGTACATACCTACATATGTACGTAAAAATGAAAGTCTGTTTGTTTGGATGACACGACCCAGAAGGGGAAAGCAGCTCATGCATTTGTTGAAAGTCCTATTTTAATATTGTATTTAACAACAACCAATCACAGTATTAGGTTCTAGATTGTTTGTCTTTTCAACCATAGAAACAAAATCGATTAAAGAACAAGATATTGAAAGGCTGAAAAGCTTAAAAAATAAATAAAGAGGAATTTGGAAATAGAAATGAAACTCAGCAAAAATTGTAATTTCATTGTTTTTCTTGTTAGCTTGAGAACATTGCGAAAATTCCCCTTTTCTTGGTTACGAAGTTAATTGGGGTTTGGGAAATTCAGGCCGAAAGTGAGTAAAAAATGAAGTGAACAAAAAGCTTCAGTACCTCAGCGGCATCAGAAAAGAATTTAGCTACCAATACGTGGGGAAATGCGTAGTTTACGGGCGGATCACTCCTTCTGTAATACTAAAAAGTTTCGCTATACATATAACTAGACGAGACTTGACTGTAGCAGTGTCTTAGCTCAATGCTATTCCAGCCCAAGGCGATCACATGCCCCTTTTAATTGAAATTCTGATTGACAGTATGTACCCATTTGAAAGGAAAATTTAAATGTCACAATTGTCTGCTACAAATACTTGTACAAATATATGTTCATGTGTGTTTGCGAATGCATATGCGACATCAATTAGCAATATCGTTAAATTGTATCTGATAAGCTGCGACAAGTAGTATGAACAACCATGTATGCGAAAGATTGTACCGTAGATAAGATAAAACTGATAGACTTGTCGTTCCTAAATGGCCTAGTATAGTGATAAACGGACAAGTAATGAACTCTGAGGAACCCCTGCCCTGCAATCTGAGTGGACGTTGCTCATCACTCGATATATACTACATACATACACGTATAAAGATTTCTGGTGCGCACTCATTTGCAACACTCGCTGACGCCAGTCGTTTGAGTGGGTCAATACCCATTGACCGTCTATAAAATTGTGCTAATCATTTGCACAACGTTAGCCATGAGAATTAATTAATAAAATATATAAAATGTGTCTGTTTAGTAAAAATAACTGGCAGGGGAATGCACAAGTATTTCCATACGCCATGCAAAACAAAGCCGCTGTATGCCTTCCCCTTCACCACGCCAACTAATAATAGATACTATTCAGTTAGCCATGTGCTGCGTGCAACTTTCACCACAAACGACCAAAACACGTCCGTTAAAGGAGGAGGCATGCCACAAACAGAGACCGACACAAGCTGGCAAACTGCAAAGTGTCAGTTGCAAGCGGAAGTTTTGTGGTGCACAAAACCAGATCTCCACGCATAGAACTCTGCTCTCGTAGGCGCATAACCACAGCCAGTTAGTGCCTGAAAATCTGGTTAGCTAGCCGCCTGGAAATGACAACTGGACGCACTTGACGCGGCTGAATCGAGCGGAAATAAGCCACAAACAAATACAAGTACATACACTGAAAGAATTGTCGAGCAAGCATTCAAATGCATTTTAAAATCTAAATAAATTAATGGTTAACTATTTCAATATTTGTAAGTCTTTCAATGGTGGCATTTAATATTTGTAATAAATATAAATTGTATTATTTAATATATTAACTATGAAACTATTTATTTAAAACAATAACAAACCACTTTTAGTAACAAGGAAATTAATCAAATCATAGAAAATTCAACTAGGATTGTTAACTTGGTAAAAAGGAAATGTGAGAAGTCAAAAGTTAAGACATTTTTAAAAATGGAAAAAATGGAAAACATGCAAATACTAAATTTAATATCTAATCCGGAACTGAAAATATACGAATACCTAATAATAGTTCGATAAGCATTCGTAGGTTTAAACTTACTAACAATTTGAGTTTTATATGAAAAATTCCAAATGTTTGAGAACCAATATATGAAAGAGTAATTCTAGGTGGAGAACAGTTATCTAAAGTATCATTATTTTGAAGAGAGAATTTTTCAGGTAACCATAATCAAAACCGATTATTCGCTGAGTGTACATATTTTCTGAGTGCACGCGTTGGCCGAGTTTTTTAACCGATTGGTCGACTGGTTGAATGGGAAACTGCTTGGCCAGCGATTGTGGGCGCAATGCATAGAAAAACTGAATGAACCCACGTACCAGCGCGTGTTCCATGACAAGCTTTGATTGCATTTATTCATATACTATATTTATACATTGAAGTATGATTATATAATTAGGAGAGTGTGTTTGTGAGTAATTGGCATGAAATGTAATGGCAAACAATGTTGCTTTTGTACAGCGAACACAAAAAGGCAGCCCTATGACAACAATTACCGGACTTGTCTGCTACGGAGCCACAGAGTGACTATCTTTTTTGACACTCTTCACAAAAAGATACATGCATATCAATTTGTTAGCATTGAAAATGTAAAAACCATTCCTCAATCCAGGATATGTTAAATGTACGAGTATATTGATCAACATCTATGCTCATACGAAGTATTCGAATCAAAATCGAAACATCTCCAAGTTTGTAATAATAAAGCAGTCCTTAGTATCAGGTGGGAAAAAGCATTATAAATACTTTCGAAACAAAAGTATTTGCTATGAATGTTTACTCTTTCATATAATAATAATAAGTCAGCAATTCATTTTAATAAAAAGTAAAAATAAAGAAAAACGAAAATGTTATAGTTTAATCTTAAAAACAAATCAGATTCTCCAATTCTCTTTGTCCACCACATGGGGGAATTTATTATGTTTAGCTTAATATCTTTCCAAGGAAGTTTAGGTAGAATCTCAAAAATCTAAACATGTGCCCAATCAAAAAAGAATAGAATAGACCTGTTAACATTTGCGTTTTTAATAAAAATGCAATTTGATATTAGTCTTCGAAATATGTCAAGCTTTAAGAACTTTTAAAGGATATGGATATGCCAGCTTAAATATTAAATCGGAAATTATAAATTGTTGTAGTGTTTAAGCCAATTTCTCGAAAGATTTTATTTATTTATTAGAAAAACTCCTATGCCTTGTAAAATTTACATACGAGCAGGGAAGAAAGTTATGCATAAAATTTTTTCTTCAATTATAAGCGGCTTTCAGCGGGACTCAGCTGTTGATAATAATAATCCCAATTAAATGGGTGTTATTCCCTTAATAGAGCACACTTTTAAAATCCTGCTTTTGAACAATGCACCGTACAGGATTAAAGCATTTTCTTATGTGGTTTCAAAGGTTTAGCAAATCTATACATCAACGATCAAAAAATGATCAATGAACAATGATGTAAACAAAATATCGATGTTAGCAGATAATTCGAATGGCATTTACATAACCATTTCTGTAGGGTAATATTCTAGATAAGAATATAGAAGATAACGTCGTAGTTGTTGCTGCTGTTGTTATTATTGAAGCGTGTGTTTATTGATATGTCAACTGCTTTATTGTGGCTAGTGGTAAATTAAATCATAATAGCAGAAATAATAACAATGCTCGCCGGCATGACAACAATATAAGTAGTGCAACAAAAATAATAACAATAGCAGCCACACAGCAAATGGCTGTTTTAGCACAAACAGATGTGGAGAGAGATATTGAGATACAGCAACTACAGACCGAAAGCAACAGCACAGATACATATGTACATACACGAATATAAAGACGCATGTGTGTGTTCGCCGTGACGTCATTGAAATAACAAAATGGTACAAATAAATATAGCACGAAAATAGCCAGCGGCATAGATATTACGAAATAAAAATAACACAAAATATCCATCAAATAATGACAGCCATTCCTTATACTCCCAAATCACACACATGTGCGCATTTGACTAGATTTCAAGCTGTGATTGAAGAAAATACAATTTTTGATCAAATTTTCAGCAACGTCAAAGTCTAAGCCGATAATCTCACGCGATTTTGATGTTTACTTCGCGTGCAACTATAAGTTGTACATATATTTATGTACATACATATGTATGTGTATATGGCTCCCGTTCTGCGATTTCTTGATAACGCAAAAATTAAATTTAATTAATCCACGCGTTAGCTCTGTCAATTGTGTTTCACTTCAAAAGCCATATCATGACGAAATCAACATGAAAAATAACTCGGCAGAAAGCAAGCGCGGGCTTGCGCACAATATGTATATTGCTTTTTCAGCGAAATAAATTTGAAATTTTAATTCAGGCACAAGGTCTACACAGTCTCTGATGTCTCTCATTAATGTTTTTTTTTTTTGTTTACACTTTAAAAGAGAGCATGCAGTTTCAATCAATCACCGCAGTCAGATTATATTTTGGGAGCGTTTATCGCATATTTCGTTTATCACCAATTTCGTGTGGAAAACACAGTTAACTTTTGAAAATAAGAACTCTGTTCTAATTGGATTAATTATTATCATAAAAATCACTCTTCCAGAAATGTTTTTTTTTTTTTTAGAAAAATATTTGAGTAATAAAATTTCAAAAATACCAATTTCTGTCCATTAATTTCATTGAATTGTTTTAATATTTTAGGGTATTATAGCTTCGGTGCAGCACTTTTTATACTCTCTGTGCTCATCTCATCGATGCGTTTGTTTGTTTGTTTCAGTGCCTCAGAACTGGTGAACGAGGCGTGCGTTCACTCTAAAAGCGTTTCAAAAAGGCAAATATTTTTCATTTTCATTTTTACGCCTTTATGTGTATGTATGTATGTATGTATTTTATGTCTGCACTCTAGGCAAAATTATATAATTTGCTAATTTAATTGAAACATAAGCTCTGCACTTTATTTAATCCTTTTTCACATTTTAATGTCAATCCAATAACATGTTGTGCTTTTGCCACCTTACGAACATACTCAAAATGAGAACAACATTAGGTTTTTATTTATATTAGGTATTGAAATGTTGATACAGTTGTTAATTCAACTCGCAGAGAAAAGATTTGTTTCTAGAAATGCTATTTGCTTACAATTTACTGATTAGTCGTCTGATCAACGCAGTAACCTTTTACCAAATGGGGCTTAGCAAATAGCAGTGAACGCGCTCAAATTGTCGAACCCTAATTACAAGAAATTACAATTACAAGAAAGCTATACAATGTGGTTGACGAGCTGACAATGGGAGACGACCTTGAAAAAACTTAATCTTATGCCTATTGAAGCTCTGCCCTTACAACATGAATTAATTGATAGAAGACCATAGGCAAAGGAATGCGGCGGCGCAGATAGAAACGCGTTTCTGTAAAACATATGCTGCCGCTCCAAAGATGACGTCGTCGCGCCAAAATTGGACAAGAGCATGCGATCGGGGGCGGCAGAGAACAAAGGGGCTTGATATGCTAAACACTCACACACATCGCATATTTTTAGCAATGGGCGCAGGTGTATAGAGACCTTTAACATATAATGAAATACATTGATGCCGTAATTGTTAATGGAATAAGTGAAATCCCAGGCACCATTGCAAATTTTGAGCACGAAACCCAAAACCGGAGTTGCAAATGACACACACACACACACTGGACTTGGATGTGTGTGTACATTAATACAAAGCCGTTCATTAATAATATCTGTGTTAATTTTCAATGCACATTTGTAGGTATGTTGAAGTTATTGTTGCTCCATTTTGGTTGGCCAACCAATTTGTTAGCGTTTGTTTTGCTTTTAATTACGCGACGATTTCTTAAAGTCTTAAACCACATCAACACACACAAACACAAAATCGCCTTTCGTGCTCTGAGTAATTTATATTTCAAGCAGAGGCCACAAACCATAAAACATACCTCTGGGGAATTATATGCTTTTGCAACTATAACGTACAACAATGCAGCACTTGTATCTTAGTTTGCAGCAAATTCTTGCTAAATAACACTCCAACCTTTGCTCGAATCACTCGCGACGATGCAATCAACACGATGGCAAAAAGGCAACTACATGATAATTTATCGATGCCTTCAAATAAATTAATCATTTAGTAACGATGCCGATACTGAGCTCCTCCACTTGACGTTTTACTACACTACTCTTGGTTTATAATTTTGTGCCATCCCTGAATTCCTCTCATACATTCCACAATCCGAAAATGTATAGCAGATGTGTGAAAACGAAACCAGAACTGTAAAACTTACGCCTGATATTGCTGAGCTTGTGCCTGAACGCCACTATCGTTGCCCGCAGGATGGCTGCTTGCAATTCTTTGGGAACCCCAGTCACTTGGAAATGCACCTACGCAAGCGACACAATGTGATCCAAGAAAGGGAGCAGCAGAATGATGGCAAGACAACTGTTTTCCATTGCCCTGTAGATAAATGTATGTACCATGTGCAGACACTGGGTGCGCGCAGCTTTACGACACTACGCCTACTGCGTCAGCACTACCAAAAGATGCACCTGGCGAAGAACTACAAATGCGACGGATGCCAGCAACAATTCCTCCTGGTGCACCATTTGAAAGCGCATAGGTGCGTAGAGCATGTGTGTCCGGTATGCGGTCTAACCTACACGTCCAAGGCCGCGCTGCGAACGCACGTTCGGCGAAAGGGCCATATTCTGGAGGAGAAAGTCAGCAAGTCGTTTAACAAAGTAGCTATAAAAAGGGTCCCAAAAGTGGTTAATGCTAAAAGCCCTGATATTAAAACAGAGCCGGAACAGGTTTCACCCAATATTTATCTAACGCCTGTTTTTGAGATGTCATCTGAAATCAGCGCACCACCGCCCAATCACCTGTTCTATTGTTTGCCGGCCTTCGAGGTACCACATACCGTGCAAGTGTCCACGGAGCCCGAGGATCTTGCGCCAGAGACTGCAAGAAATGTGCCCGCACATTTAAGTAAACAGGATCATTATATAAATACTACTGACATGCCTAATTTTAGCGCCGAGGAAGTTGATCTAGATCTACTGCTACGTGATACGGAAACTCAAACCGATGACGTAGATCTGGATACTTTAGACATGAACAATGGCGTACTGGCGCCTTTGTTGCGTGATATACAAACCCAGACGCCGGACAACAGACACAATCAGGCCACAATGACCGAAGATGATGATCAACAAACGAATTCAGCTGCTAACCAATATGTCGCCTTCGATGAGCCTATGTTTGGAACGCAAACCTCTGCTCACATGTACACACAAACGTGTGATGAACTGTTTGAGGAACTGGGACTGTCCCATATACAAACACAAACCAATTGGCAGGACGGCCTTTACAACACACAGTACACGCAAACCTGTGATGAAATGCTGGACGAACTGTTGGAAAACTTCCAGTCGACGTACACACAAACTCGCTGGTTAGAATAGCACAAAATGTGAAATTCAAGCGATAGGCAGTGCGCTCCTAAAATTGTGGTTGTTGCTATAACTAGAAACCTAAATTCCCTGCGGTTGGCGATGAAGTCTCAGCTACAGAGTACTCCTCACCACGCGGTAAACATACAACCGAAAAGCATTGGAAAACAAGGTTCTTTAACTAAATTCTCGTAATAATTTCATCAACCAAGATCCCCAGTCAGTATGGAAACATATAACTGAAGACCCTTACGTTTATTTTTATTTTTTATTACAGTTTAAGTTTAATATATTTGTATAATAATAGCGAACATTTGTTTATATCTTAAAACAAGTATGTCTGTCGACAAACTCATCGGAGGTCAATCACTTTTTGTAGTCTTTTTGTTCGCTTTGATCAGCAGCAGCTCAGAGCACTGGAAGAAACAGTAGCTGCAGAAGCTCAGAGCCAGATAGTTACCTACGCCACTCATATAGGCGCCACGCATCAGGAAATCGCCCACATCCTTCCCGCTGATGAAGTAAACATTGGAGAATCCGGCGGGTATAAAGAGTTGTGTACCGAGCAACGCATTGAAACGTTGAGCGCCTTTCGCACTAAAGTACTTTGTCAGCCATTGCTTATATGCGGGCGTAGCAATTAGCGTCTTGTAGCACTTCTCGGCTGTTAGACAGAGGAAGTTCAGCACACTCCACATTAGGACATATGTGTGACAACCATGCCAAAGGAAGACAAATCCAAATGTCACCGCACTAGCGCCGAGTTTCGCACGCACCGATGATCGTTTGCCGCACATTTCGGAATAGATATGCTTGAAGAGAAATTCGTAGAAACCCTCGTCGAACTTTCGCCACATATCCGAATAGAAATGTATACGCCCGATGCAACGGGGACGACTGGGCGCCGGTATTCCATCGTTCTCGGCAAAAGATATTCCCAGCCCATAAGTAATCACATAGTATATAAAGAAGAACTGACCCATGAAATAGCCGGCAGCATGTTGCCAGAAGACAGAGTCCATCATGGCCACAGCACGCACATCCAGTGCCATGTAGTGTATGTAAAAAAAGTGCAGCGCGCATTGCATGAAAAGCCACCAAAAGACCACCCGAAGTAGGTGGCTACTAAACTTTAACCAATTTACTGGCTTATCCTGGTGCTGACGGGCTGCATAGCGTTCATAGCTGATGAATGGTCCATACGTCAGCGTGGGAAAATACAAAGCATACCCTAAATATTCGGCCAACTTATCAGATTTGTCACCCTTGTATGTAAGCGCATAGCTACATCCACGCAGCAGACTCCAGGAAAGCGAAACCAGGAGTAACACGAACTCTGAATATCCAACAAAGTCCAGCCACCATTGACTGTTCTTTATCACATTAATTATGAGTATCCAAAATCCAGAGAGCAGCCAAATTGCCTTCGAATGTCTCTGTGCCACCAAATAATAACTGGAGATTAGAGCGACGCACATGACCAGCGAAGTCCAATGCAAGTTGAGACAGAGCGCCAGCGCGCAAACTCCTGCAGACCCATAGCATTGCAGTCGCAGTTCCTTCCCACGAAGACCGGCACCCACAAGCACGTGCAACAAGTAGTATGGCCAATAAGTGGAAATAAATGTTGTAAAATTCTCTAACTCATCGTTGCTGTCGTCACGCCGACGGCCACCAAACACTTGCCAGCCTCTGGCAAACTGGAATTGAGACGCATCCAAAATACGATCGCGTAGTTCGTATATTTTATAGAGACCAATTATAATGTAAACTAAATAAACAGAAAAGTAAACAATTATTTCACACTTGCTCATCTCTAAGTACAACGATTCCGCGCAATCGACGGACAGTACTGACGGAAGAAACATCGATTCCTGACCAGTGTTTTAAACGCTGCAGGGATGGACTAAACATGGAAAGGTTTTTGTTTAATCCTATCTGTTTAATATTTAAGTAAACGATTTTTATACATATGTATGCATGTACTTATTAATTATACTTGTGGATTTATAGTAAATGCCCTAGGCAAGAATTTCTTCCTCATCTTCGTCGTCTTGTTCATGTTTCACCTTCTGCTCAGCCTCGGCGACGCGTCGTTGCAGATGCCGCCATAATGTACTCTTGGGGATCTCAAATAGATTAGCGGCATGATTCTGTGACATGCCCTCGTGTATACACGCATGCACAGCTTTGGCTAATTTGTCGCGCAACTCATCCTTGGGTGTGGTATCGCGTCGTCGACAAGCCACAAAGTCTGGGAGTCGTCCTTGCGCTGCGAGCCGCACCTTGTGCCGATGCAGCGTTGACATGGGTATGTGGAGATCTTGACTAATACTCTTAAGCGAATCGCCGTTCTTTAGACGCTCGTACGCCTCCGATAGGGAAGGTTTTTCCCGATTGTGTTTCATGTACTCGGGATTGTTTCGTACACGACGCCACAGCACAGTTTTTGAGATCTCAAAGCGGTCGGCGGCTTTCTGAAGGCTAAGCCCTTCTTGAAGAACGGCATGTGCCGCCAATTCGAGAGCATCGTTTGCTTCAGCCTTAGCTTCACTTTTTAGTTCCGCAAATTGTTGCTGTTTGCTCTTGTGTCCTCGTGAGCGTCGTAGTTTATGCTTTCCCGACCATTTTCGCGGTTTTAGCTCAATCATGTGCTCCTCCTTTGTGTCCGAGTCTTGCATGTCATCACCGTCCGGTTCGTCCATTCGCGCATTTGTGGACATCTCTATAAGCGGATCTGTCTCCCCCACATATTCTTCCTCAATTAAATTGGACTCGTCAACATCATCAGCTACATCTTCAGCATCATCGTCCATTAAATTCCCCGATACATTGGAGGCAACCACTTCATTTACAGAACCAATGTTTGTGTCCATTTTGGTAGCGGGTGCTGCCGACTGTGTGATTGTGAAGGTGCCAGTGTTCTCTGTCAATATATACTGATTGCCACTAGTTGTACCGCCCATATGCTCAATCGAGTATGTTATCTTTGGCTGATCAGTATACACATCTATATATTCTACTTGTCGGCCACTCTGCAGCTGCTGGTGGTGATGTTCTTGTTGCTGTTGTTGCTGAGGGTCATCCATTTCAGCACCACCTTCCAATTTGTCAGTAACATCAGTGGATGGTGGCTCTTCTTCTTCCTCCAGTAGCTCGGCCTGTGCGATTTGTAATCCTGTAATTGATTTTGCCGCCTCCATAGCCAAATGTTCATCTGCTGCAGTCGAAGTATTCATCGCTGATGCTGAATTGCATTCGAAGCTAATAGCCGATTTGATTCCCATCAAGTTGATAGCCTCTAAAAACTCTGTCAAGTACGTGGATTGCAATGTGGTCTCGCCCATATAAATAAACGACATCATGCTCTCAAGCATTTCTCCCCGTATATCCGGCAGAACTACAGTGGCCTCCTGACCCGCCGGAACATCGACCAGCAGACTGCGCATCAGATCGCTGCAAGTGCTAAGCACGAAGAGATGGGCGCGAACACTGATTCCGTCTTTGGCCACCAGCGTTACTTCACATGTTTCAGTGTCATCGCGGAGAGAAGGGCGTGCTGTATAGAGCGAGCGTTGTATATCCATGATTGTGGACATGTGGCCCATCCATTTTAGATGATTCTAAACGTAAAAATTAAGAAAAACTCAGATAATGCACATGTAAACAATAGAAAACAGTTCGTTCCAATACTCCTCATATAATTACCATCGTTTGTTGTGTTTTTTTCCAATCTGTGTGTTTAATTTCCAAATGCACAAAATAGAACGCGACGCGAAACGCTACGAAATAGCAATGGGCCTGTAGAGGGTTGTATAATGCAAAAGGAAAGTAATTGCAGTGCTGGAAAACTCTAATGAAATGTATACTGAAAGAACTCTACACCTTTTAAAAAAACTGAACCAATCACTATAAAGGAATCGAATTTGTTGCTCAGGGACTGATCTGAATAACACTGAATCAGCACAGCTGCATTAAAAGCCAACGAAAATATTAGATTCCACTATATCATATTGTTGGTGAAAATCGCTAGTCCATTTGTCCAATTTGTTCCTTTGATCTTCACTAAGTTCATGTTTATAAGCCCCGAAAATGCCTCGGCGCATGAAACTAAAAAAAAACCATTGATTGAGTGGACAATAATAATTTAAAATGCATTTTCAAAGTTTTCGTTGATTTTAAAGGATTGCATTAGAAGACCCGTCAAGTTGGTTTACTGGTTTCCTAAGGATTATATTGATTATATCATAATTTTAATAAGATTAAATAAATTTACACAAACTATACCTTTCATATTCTCAAAGACGCAACAATTCCTTCATTTCTAATTTGCTTCACTCATGGATTTTCTTTTTCACAACACTTTCCAAATACTTTCTTGAAAATACTGCAAAATGCTGTTAAATACATACTTAGAGTGTAATACTGTCTCCAAAATGTAAATAAAACCGTTTGATAATAACTTACACTATATAGTATCTTAATATCTATAATGATAGTTGTATAAAAAAAAGTCGAATGTAGGTGTGAGATTGTCAAGATCTAAGGAGATTAAATTTTTTAGGTACGGCGCTGTATAAGATGGTATTCCAAAACATAACAGCTGATAGTTACCGATAGATAATGCATAGACTCACGTCGACTCAATCCCTATGTAAATGTGCAGTTACACACCTTTTACGTGAGTTCCAATACCAAGGGAGGTAAAATCTATCAAAAATTTATTTACTTTTTTAAGTATTCTTGTTTATTTATTATTTTTTAGTTTGCTTAAGTATTCTACACATACATATGTACGGAGTACAGAGAATAATTCAGATAATGCACTGTGAACAATACAAAACAGTTTTTTGTCTTATTTTTCCAATCTGTGTGTTTAACTTTCAAACCGAATAAATTTAATGCGGTGCGAAGCTTTACGAATTACGAATAGGCCTGTGAAGAGTTGTATAATGCAAAAGGAAAGTCATTGTGGTACTGTAAAACGCTAATGAAATGTGATCTCTGACAGAACTCTACACCTTTTAGAACATGAACCAATCGTCATTAAGGAATCAAATATATTTCTTAGGGATAGGAAACAAAGTTGCGTCGTAATTGGGAGAGTTGAGTTAGAGGAGGTTAACTAGTCGACAAACCTATAAAATATGTAATATCTCTTAAATATATAAAAAAAAATATTTTTTTTTTTATTTTAAAATAAATATTTTAGTACTTTTTTTGTCTTTATTTATATTAAAGAAGTACATTTGCGATTGAAGGACAAAAAGTAGATAATTGATAATAAGACCAGATTTTGACTATCAATGCTTTATAAATTTAATATGCATAGATTCCCAAATATAAAAGTAATATTTTTGGTTGGACCCGCTAATTACCATGATCGCCTAAAATATATATACATACATAGGATACGCACACATAAAAAACTTTCGTTTCAAAATAAAAACAATATATTTTTCATTGTATAACACTAAATGTACATTATTTACGTTGCTTAACACTTAAAGGTTCGACTGTCAACTCTTGCGCAATTCATTGAATTTTACTTTAATAGGCAAAATCGTGCAAATGTCAGCCCTAATCCGAAATTTGGGGGTCCGTATCGCCTCTGCTGGTCTGGCGAGCAAGCACGGTAAGTGTTCATTTGAAGGTCCTTCCTAGCTACTGTGTAATCCGTTGTTTCGTGTTCGTAGTTTTGCCAAGTGTCAGCGCTCTTTCGCATCGCTTGTCCAGTACGGCAGCTGCGGATGCGAAGAAACCAGAGAAACGTAAGTAATAAATTTGTATTCGCCGTGGCTTACGTTTACCTTCCTAGTTCCTTGCAGCCACTGTGCGCAAGCCAGATGCAGTTGCTCGAACCCATTTGTCGGATTTTGGTCGCTATGTCGCCGAATGTTTGCCTAAGTATGTGCAAAAGGTCCAGCTTACCGCTGGTGATGAGCTCGAGGTTCTCATTGCACCCGAAGGTGTGGTGCCCGTGCTGCAATTCCTGAAGGATCATCACCAGGCGCAGTTCACCAATTTGGTTGACATTGCCGGCATGGATGTGCCGTGCCGCGAAAATCGTTTTGAGGTGATTTACAACCTGCTCTCATTGCGTTTTAATGCACGCATTCGCGTCAAGACCTACACAGATGAGTTGACACCTCTGGATTCGGCTTGTGAGGTGCACAAAGCGGCTAACTGGTATGAACGGGAGATTTGGGACATGTATGGTGTGTTCTTTGCTAACCATCCCGACTTGCGCCGTATTCTCACCGATTACGGCTTCGAAGGTCATCCACAACGCCGTGACTTTCCCTTGTCTGGCTATGTTGAGTTGCGTTACGATGATGAGAAAAAACGTGTAGTATGCGAGCCCTTGGAATTGGCCCAGGAGTTTAGAAAGTTCGATTTGGCAGCACCATGGGAGCAATTCCCTAATTTCCGCAACGCGAATCCCCCAGCTGAGGTGGTGCAACCAGCTACTCCGCCCAAAAAGTAGGAGGCACTATGGCACTTTATCACAGGCCAATAGACAACTGTTAGTGTTTGTTAAATGGTAATTAGATGGAAATCAATAAACAAAATAATTAAAACAGTGTGCCGAACTAACTTTAAAATCACTACACCAAAGATATTTGGTTACTTATGATTACTTATGTAAACATTTATAGTTATGGTAATTCCTTAACTTCAAGGATATTGAAGATAACTCTTTTATTTCATATCGGTTATATATATCGATATATAAACACGAACGAAATGCTAGCCGAGCGGGCCCAGTTCTTAACTACCCTATACCCACGCCCAAAAAATTATTTTAAAAAACATATTTTTAATTAAATGAAATGAAGTAAATGTAATATATATATTACGTTTGTATGTATGTTTAGACATACATATGCTTATGTTCAGAATAGCATACCTTTGTATTGGGATTGTGTCTCTGCGCCAAGGTTTGCAGTACATAGTTAAGCCAAAGCAGCAACAACAATAATAGCTTTTTTTTATTTAAAAACCAAGTGTTTTATTTTGCAGTTCAACAATTACTTTTAAATTGATTAAAAAAAAAACAATTTCTGAAATTTCTAATTATAGTTCAATATTGTTATCAGAAAATGAGATATGTTTACTTAAAAGTTTATAGGACAGTACTGCATTTTACGTATAGGAATTAAAAAAATTATTAGTTTGGAAACCATATTAAATCTTCTTTTGTACCCGAGTCGTTACGCTCACTTAGGAAACTGTTCGGAAACAAATTTCCAGCCATTTAGAATGCAATCAGGAGAAATAACATTTCAAGCAGCCTCTGTGATTCAATTATTTGCCTGTCACTGGAACTTAAGTACAAATAGTTTCGATTTGTTTAGAAAACAGAAATATTCACATGATTTATTTTTCTGATTTTGCTTTGTTTTTTTACACACTTAACACATTCACAATTAGACATGCGCTCAATTAATGCACACACAACGCATATGTATGTATATACATCATACATATGTACATATGTATGTGTGTGCGTTTAAATATATGTATGTATGTATATGTAGAACGTATGCATTTACATAGTTTTCGTATTGTTACACGTATAAAACATTTATTAAATCAAAGTCAGTTAACCAGGTTAGCTTAAAGACGAATCGTGCGCCTGCGCAGCGGTGCTTGCCAAGGATTCTGTTGAAATAGAGGAAAGTTCTGTTTCTAGGCGGGGCTGGCGTATTATAAATTGTCATTGTTTATGAAGATTCCTAACGGTAAAGTTGCTTTTAGCATTCGAGCCTTAAAAGTTGTACTCAAATTTTATACCGGCACCGCTGACAACATTTCTTAACGTGTTAATAATTTTCATTTGTATATTAGATTGTTTACACATATCTTTTTGTTTTGTATAAGAACGTACACATATAAATATATAGTAATTTTACATTTAGCTCGTTTAGTTTAAAAAGCTCGCGCGCCAATTGTTGGACTAACGCTACAAAGGTATATACTTTACAATCGAACAGGATTCAAAAATAACCTGTTTCCAAAAAACAAATTTCCAACGCACCCAATGTGCGTGAGCAGCCCTTGTACAAGGTACAGTGGGGCTGCGACAAATTAAAATTTTCATTTCAGAATGCTGACTATGCTGTCCTTGTGACACCCAACCAGCGGCCTGGCCGTGGGCGAGGCAGCTCAGCATCTGACAACAAACAACAAATTGACAGACGACCTGCGGCCGCTGTGCCACAAATACAAATACGTATGCCAGTCAACAAGAGCAGCAACAACTCTTTCGCATCCGGATCCCTATATCGATTCGGTTTTGGTGTAGTGGCGCGCCGCACCACCGCCGCCAGTCGTTGCGTACGCCGAGCCCTTGCTGCTACTACTGCTGCTGCTACTGTTGATCTGATTTTCATTGGTGCCCGCGGCTGCCTCGTTGTTTAGCCGCTCGTGATACTCCTGGAAGCAGGGCACAATGCACAAATTCGTTTGACACTCGGGACAGTGGTATTTGGTTTTGCGTCGCAAAATCCGACCATGTCCGTCGATGGTGTTCCAGCAAAAATTGCACCCCAGTGCCGGACCGGGACGTATTACAGGGCAATGACTAGAACGTGGATTTTCCAAGGTAATTATTTCGCGTTGCGTCTGAAAATTGCGATAAAGTTGTAAGTCAGCATACACTTTCCAATCGTTAGTTTGTCTAACTAATAAACTAACTATTAATGACATTTTTGTGCGCCTTTCTGCGCTTCTCACAAACTTTAGCTGATAGTTTTTGTTAAGATATAATAGATAGATAGAAGTGGGTACGAACACCAATCGATAAGCCATTAAAGATTCGCTTTAATCATATTGCTCAGGTCCATAGAAAAAAGGATGCGCAGCCATCCATGTATTTGTATAGGATTTTAAAACAAGAATTATGTACCTAGTACGTTTTCACACAATATGTTGAAATCTATAAAGATAAAGCCCGAAACGAACAAGAAAAGTACTTGTTGGTTTAATTCTCGCAAAAAATTAAATTTTAGATTCGATTTAGAATTGGACGTTGCAGAAACCATAAATATAATAATTCGGAAACTGCGCACAATAAAGGGTCCTTATCCGAGACGAATATCTTAATGTATTTTTCTTTAGACGACACAGAAGCTTTTAATATACGATTATTATATGATTTCAAAATAGCTACTCGTATTCAGTTCGGTTCTTCTAAAATAAAAATGGTTAAATTAAGAACAGGTATAAGAATTATACATAGCTTCACTGCAATATGTAGTATGTTATATCTGAGGTGTCAAAGAAGATACCCATAACAATTTTAGCTTGGACTTAGCTTTGGGTAAATGGTATATCAACAAGATTGAAAAAGGCGTGGGATGTTCATGTTAAGCGGATTCAATGTGATTCTGGGTGAGCGGAGGTTTAATCTTACCTGCGGGGATGACACCGACCGCTGTAGTTCCTCGTTCTTCACTCGCAGCGTGGGCAAATGCTCAAATGAACTACTCGTCGTCGGCTGGCCGGGATGCAGATGCGTTCCACTGCTACTGACACCTGATGCAGACTTTGAGCTGCGCAGCTTCGCGCCTCCGCCATGGCCAGCGTCGTTTTTGGCGCTACGCTCTATAACAATGTGCTGAGAGTATGGCGAACGGCGTTCGGACTCGGCGCTACCCGCGAACGTGGGCGAAAAGGATTGGCGGCAACTGCTACTGTTTAGGCCAATTGTAGGCGATGTGACCACGGAGACGGCAGCGGTACTTGCAATGGCGGGCGTTGCGGCCGCCTCACTGGATGAGGCGGGGGCTAGGACACGGGTCGGTACAAGGTACTGCGATGAGCCTGCCGGAGGCGGTGAACCAGATGCATAGATCGGTTCGGGCAGCGAGATATGATGTGGAAGGTGCAGTGGAGCGGGCGGCACATATCCGGCATTGCTGCCAGGCAGTGGGTGTGAGTATTGGCGAGTGAGGGGGGCAAATGGGTTGCTGCCGGTCGTGATGCTTCCACTGCCACTGGCGTGCAACGAATGTTGACGCGGCAGTAGCGGATCCGAGTGCTGTTTAATCAGATACGGTGTGCTTGGTGGTACTGTGAGCAGATGCGGCGATGATGATGACGACGATATCAAGCTGGGCGCCGGCTCCGAAGCGTGACGCTCCATGCGCGGCGGCACTGTCAGCAGATGATGATGATGATGCGACTGCTGATGCTGATTTTGGTGGTGTTGATGTTGATGGGGTCCTCCGGTCGAGTAGTCAGTGGCTGTTGTGACCCCTGCCGCATTAAATGGATCAAAGTCGAGCATGGCCGTGTTAGCTCCAGTGTCCGGCGAAATTTGATTCGTAGATGAGAGGCTGTCGCTGTCGCGTTTCACACGTGGTTGTCGCGTTAGGACGCGATTCCTCTTGGTGCCCATCATCCCGGCAGATTGCGGGACTTGCAGATCAGTTGCCGCCTCAGCCTCCGACTCGTTATGACCGCCGATGCTAGATGTGCGCTCGAAGCTGCTGCTGCTACTGTTGGCGGCTACCAGTGAGGAGTGCGAAAGTGGATGCGTATGCGCCGTGCTTGGCTCTGAAAAAGTTAAAGATATTACTTCGTTGCTTTACAAATTTAATGGATCCTTTCTTCTGCTAAGATCCACCATATTCGTGCGATTCGATATGGAATTCCCAGTGCATATATAAAATTGAAATTTAGCTGTGATTCAAAAAAGGGGCTGGAAAAAGCTCTAACCATAATTAAATTCGTGTTCCTTAGCTTCCTGGAGGAATAAGTTTTGTCGAATCTTTTGGACGATAAGACCGTTCACTTTTGTTTTTAATATCGCTTTGATAGTTTCAGCTCAATTGTGAATTGGCTTTAGTTGGAGCGTTAAGCGCCTCCTACAAGTAATATGGAGTGCAATGGGCATTTGGAAATTATCGGGACGTGATGGGCAATGAGTTCTCAAAGGGGTTCACCAATTCGATTTTAATAAGTAGTATGCTGAAAATGATTGTTGATGTTTTGTAATTTTTTAAAGTTTATTCGTTTCTTGCACATCGAAGCCTACATTCTAAAATGATCCTGCTCATTTTGAAGTATACATACATACATATATAACTTATAATACATTCGTTTCTTTTATATTCATTTTAAATATTTTGTATATATATATATTTATATATTTAACACACACAACTACCAGAGTTATTGGTACTTTGCCATTGTAGGAAACAGAGTTAGTTATACTTATTGTTTCTGCTATTTTCGCTTGAATTCTTTCGTTTGTTGATTTTGTTTTGAATGCCATGTAGTAATAAAAATCCAATATCAAAGTTTTACCTTACAATGACTTCTAACAAATCACGTATGGTTTCTAGTATGCCTTGCCACAATATAAAAAGTTTACTATTATTTAGTTAATATTAATTGTAAGTAATAAAAACACACTATTCCGTTTACCTCTCACTTGATTTCCACTTTTTTTTCTCTCTCTATTATTATTTTTTTTTGTTTTGCTTTAGCTGCAGTCTCCATTTAGGATTTTGGGTGGTTACGAGTTAATTTTACTTTTGTATATTGCGTATATGGCTCGTTTTGTTGTAGCCTACATATGTACTTATGAATACATATATGTATGTTTATGAGTATGTTTGTATGTACAGGAAAAATGAGTTATAAATTCAAGTTCAACAGAAATAAGATTTTAGTATGCAAGCCCTTTAAAGATATGTGTAGACAGTACTCTAAGACAAAGTATAATTGCACAGATGAAAAGAAAATTCTCTGAAAAGGTCAGTAAATTTTGATGGTAAAGTATGAAACACTTTTTTCAACTAATATTTTCGGGTCTTTTAGACAAGAATCAAACCAAGAATTTAATCAATGACTTACAACTTTTTGTACCCAGTTTGAAAGAGACATTTGCGTAGAACAGAAAATAAATCAAAGCTTTTACATTTACATATATAGTGGTGTACATATATAATATATTATGTATATCAAGTTTTATACAAGTGTTATGTTTGTAATTTAATTTCTTATGATTTATTGTACGGTTTACACTGATGTATTTATGACAATGGGTATCTTAAAGTTTGATCAAATTGAAGCCAAATGATCGCCCCCTCTCTTATTGTGATAAAATAAACAATTGGACAAGCCCTCGAAATTCAAATAAAAGCTGAAAACTGTACAAATAATGTTGATATACATTAAAATAATATAGTTTTAATTGTAATTAATCGTATGTGCTGCTAAAAATCAAGTGCCATAAAATAATAATAAATTAGGCTAATGCTAGCCATTGAAATAGAAGTCAATGTGTGTGTGCCTATATAGATCATTTTGTTTTCGATAAACACTAAAAAATGAATCAAATTATTTACAGCTTTAATTTTTTTAATATGCACTATATATAACTATATCTGTACTACCGATTTCTTAGTTAACAATTGGTAAAAATGTATGTGGTTTAAAACATTAAATTTAAGAAATTACAATCTAAAAGTTATTACAAGAGTTGCAGTTGCTTATTTTGTTTTGTTTGCTTGTTTTTTTTTTCGCACCAGCTTTTGGTAAACCATATGTGTGCTGGAGTGGATTGTGGGTTGTTCCATGGCCGTGGCACGACCTCTTTTACACACTAGTTGTTGCTGCCGTTTTACTAATACCTGTATCGAATGAATGCATTGCACGGATGCGGCGTTGGCTTTGACTTGGGGGCTTAGGATTTATTCATGTATTGTAGGCCGGTGTTGACCAGCGGCGCTGCCATTGAGTTGGTCACCGTGCCAGCCATCAACGAAGGGGGTGGCGGCGCTGCTACCGTTACAAAGTTATTAATTAAAAACGCTGTGGCCGCTGCGCTGTGCGCAACGCCCATTGCCGAAACAGAAACGGGTACGGAGACGGATACGGGAACAGCTGATATGCTCATTGTTTCTGCTGACTCACTGACTGCCATTGCAGCGGCCGCCTGTAGCAGCGACGCCGGTCCATGGACAGTTGCAGCAGCAGCTGCCACTTGTGTGCCGCCAACCTGCTCCATGTGGCTCGAAATTGTATTCTATATTGAGTTAAAATTAATACTCTGTAGATTCATTGCAGCTGCCGGATTAACATTGATCGTCCCAGCGCCCGTTGCAGCCGCACCAGCGCCCGCGCTTGTCGCATCAATATAACGCTGTCTCGACATGTTGTGTGAGTCCATATAGCGTGCATCGAATAGGCTCATTACTCCAATTGCTGGATGCGCTCCAGTAGCGCCAGCGGTGCCTGCTGCTGCCGCCGCGGCGGCGCTCGCATGATGTGGCGTACACATCAATGAGGGCGTTGGTGTCTCTGCTTGTGGTGGTATCTGCATATTAAGAGCTGCCGTCTGCGCTGCTGCCACAGCAGCCGCTGTCAGATGCTCATAGTTCTCGTTGGTTGCATCGTCGCCAGGATTTGTAGATGGTGTGGGTGAGGGCGATAGATTCGGCTCCTGCTTAACGACGCGCGCTTTAATACTAGGCCTCGAGACCGGATAACCGCGCTTCTTGTATTCCAACCAAAGCGTGCGATTGTTAACCCCATAGAGACGTGCCGCCTTACAGAAACCAATGCCCCCAGTGCGCACAGCCTCAAGAGCGCGTATGAAATTCTCATCGCCTTGAGGATTTACCGAACGTTTGCGTTTAACCACCTGGCTGCCTGCACCACCACCGCCACCACTGCTGCTGTTGCCACCACCTGCGCTGCCGCCGCTGCTACCACCGCCTCCGCCGCCGCCACCAATGCCCGAATGCACCGGTGATTGAGTAGGCGTGGGTCCTTGACTATAAACGGATTGCACCATATTTGACTCGTTGGGCGATGTGGGTGATAGGTTTTGGGCTGCCGTTGCATAGCCGCTGACTAGATTGTTGACGGTTATGATCTGTGACGAGTATGTCTGACCCGAGGCCCCTTGCTGCTGTTGCTGCTGCTGTTGTTGCTGCTGATAGTGCAATTGTTGCAGATGTTGCTGCTGCTGCTGTTGTTGTTGCTGCTGCTGCTGATTGCTTGCCTGCTGTTGGGCTTCGTGCTGCTGTCGCTGGTCGTTGTTGCCACTGCCGCCACCACCTACGCCTCCGCCGCCACTACTATTTGGACCGCTGCTCTGATTACCGCTACCACCGCCATTGCCAATCAAGTTTGTCTGGCAAGCGGGCAGCGAGAAGCGTGGATAGTTGGGATCAACAACTGTCCATTGCAGACCTGGGAAGGGGAGAGAGAGAGAGAGAGACAGCGTATGAAAGATTGGTTTTGTCTTGTACTTAATTGAAATTGAATTTACTAAAGGGTCTCACGTTAAGGACGTTAAAGACTGAGATTCAATGCACTTAGGCTTTTTTCTTAATCTTTGCTGCTTTGGGTCGTGTCTGAGGTTAAGCCTTTTTCCATAGTTTATTTGTGTTCGTACAGGAGAAAGGTATAGAGTGACAATAGTAGAAAGATTGCTAATGCTAAATCATTAGAAACGTTCATTTTAACTTCCCAACAAGAAAAAGAAACCAAAGTATTCAAAACAACAGTTTGCACTCATAAAAAAGAAACCAAATTATAAAATAAAAATTACGGTTATTTAGTTTTGGACTCTGTGCTAGCTCTCTCCCGTTCCCAAGTTCAGGCAGGATTTCGTTTTTGAATAGAATACACAATGGTTAAAGTTATAGAATTTTCAATATTAATTTTTGTTTGTATTCATTTTGCACTTTACACATTTCATTGCACTTAATATGTAGTAATATGTATGCTTATGTTTCATATTTAGCTTTAGCATTCGTTTCTCCAAGCGTGGCATTTTTAACTGTGATTTAGTTATTTTCTGATACATACTCATATTTTCATATGTGAAAAATTTCTTAAAACTTAAGTGCTCTTTAAACACTCAATCAGCATTGTGGATGTGCATGAAATGCGCGATGATGGGGAAAAGCAAAAGGTGAACATAAAAGTATGAGTAAAGAACTTTAAGAACGGAAAATGAAAGTAGAGAATTGGATTTGCCTGAGAGTGATGAAGTATAGACGACCCGAAAGAAATAATTAAAAAAACTGACACACTGAAGTGATCTTTGGCTTTGCAAAGAAACACGGGAAGAAGAAATTGGCGATTCCTCAATGAGAAGCATGATTTTAAAATGATTATTAATGTTTGACTGTACCTTTTTAAAAGGGTGACAAAAACCTGTTTACGAACTGAATTCATCATTATACCCTGTACCCGAAGGGTATACTAGTTTTAATATTAGAGAACTGTTAAACAATTCTTTATAGAAACTTTGCAATGAGTTCAGTCGGGTTTTGTCATCCTTGGTGAATAGTTTGTGGGACAAGCAAATAACCGTGGCTTTCGGATTTTGCAGCTCACTGTGATGAACCATACTAAATAATTTCGACTTACCCGAATGCGAAGATTGGGAATTGGGGGCATCATGTTCTGAAGGTGTTGTTGCGCCTGAAATGTCCAGAGGAATCGATTGATTCACACCACCGATATCCACTTCAGGTTTCTATATCATTGAATGGACCAAAAATTAGAATTCAGTAAAATGTCATGGGTTATGAATATATTAACGTGACCAATTTCATTACAATTTGCATATGTATGTGTCCATGACCATCATCCAAATCCGAATCCTGCGGCTGTTGATCCAATTCAGTGCTGGCAGATTCTTTAAGCAGTTTCGCAGCATGTAACGAATGTCCGGTAAGATTGCCCAATGCTGTATTAGTCCCGCTACCAAACGACATTTGACTCATCTGTGCAAGACTGAGACCTGCATTGCCGGCAGCACTGCCTGCATCCATGGAGCTATTGTGCTGCTCATCTGAATTATTGCGTTCCCCAGAGCCTGAAAAACCGATCGTATGTTAATGCAAATATACATAACATTTTACATGTTTTGAGTTGGTCAATCGATTCAGTTAGTTCAATAGTTTTATGAATGAAATGAATTCTAAATAAACATTTAACATTTAAAGGAGTACAACTAACTAATTTTTGTGGAGTTGTGAATTGTCAGAATAATTAAAAGAAATTTGAAGTGCATTAAATACTCAGAAAAAATATCTCATATTCAAAACTATACCTGTAAATACATGAATACTACGTTCTAAACAACTCAAGAATTGTAATAGTTTAATTGAAATTGACAAATCTCAAGCTACTGAAGGTAGCGCTCTTCACAACGACCATGAAGACGAAGACGATGCTTTACCTATTTCGAACTCACCGTTATTTGAAGATTTCCTCAAGCGCTTGCGCCGCGTTGCCGGCGAGGTGCCCGCACCCAATGGTGATGGCGTCCGCCTTAGCTGATGATGATGCGATTGAGGCGTTTGCGACTGGTTGCCTGGCTGCTGTTGTTGTTGCTGCTGTTGGTGGTGATGATGGTGGTGATGTTGTTGCTGTTGTTGTTGCGCCTGCTGTTGCTGTTGTTGTTGCTGCTGCTGTTGCAACTGCTGTTGCTGCTGATGATGGTGATGCTGCTGTTGCTGTTGCGCCTGTTGTTGTTGCTGCTGGAACTGTTGGGCCTCGCTGCTGCTCCACATCGAGTCACCAACACTGTTGGCACTGCCGGCCCCTAAGCTTCCGGCAGCTGTGCCGCTGCTCGCAACATTAGCACCGCTTTGACCACCAACCAACTCGGTGCCCTCACTCGATGATTTACTGTCGGACTTGGTGAGATTGGCAGGGTCTGTGGGCATCTCAGCCAGGCCCTTAATTTTGAGCATTTCGGCCGTTTTGAGTATATGCGGCAGTTGCTCCTGCGACACGTTAACTTCCCCATAGTACATGAAATCGACCATCGTCTTGAGATCATCGTACTGCACGTCCTTAAGTATTACAATAGGATGCTGACACGGATTCGTTGTGAAGAGTGCCTGATGTGAAGGGGGACACCCGCATATTATTACTGTTGAATATACATTTTATTGACATTACTTACTTGAAAGTACGAACTGCATGCGGATAAAACTATTTTGTGAGCCTGCAATTGCCTGCCCTCCGCTGCAAGCGTAACGTCCACCAATGTCCCATTGTGAAGCAGTGAGGAGCACACAGATATAAAGTTCGGCTGGTGGTTATTCCAGCGGAGGCAAAACTGCTGGACCGACATTGTAGCTGCCGTTGACTATGCTGACTGGTTCACAACGCTGACAGCGATGCGTGTGTCGCCGAAAGACAAATATTCCAAGAGCAACAACAATTTCAGTTCTAAAAGCAATGTGACGAAAACAAGCTGATAACAACACTTTTTATCGCTGGCCGCTATTGATTTTTGCTTCGTTTTCTTTTTGTTGTTGTTCTCTTGCTGTCCCGTTGCCTTTTCCGATGTTACTGTTGTTGTTTTTCTTTTATTTTTTGGTTCGGGCTACGTTTTTTCGTTAATTAAAATTTATGTACAATATTCTTTTCGGGGGCGCCTTCCTCAAGTGTTGTGGCGGCGCGCATGTGTTTGTGTGTGTGTCTGTATGTGTTATTTGCGTGTGGCGGCGACGCTCGGGGGTTTCTATGCCACACTGTGATACACATATGCACACATTGTACATATATACATGGTACTGCTGCAACAATATTCATAAGAGAACAACAATATTTTAGTTCAAATCTATATCTATCTATAATTTGATTTGGAAAATTATCAGAAGGTATTTATTTAAATGTGCACTTCCGTTTAGAGTTTTTTGTATATATTTTAACTGTTGTGATTTCTTCGTTTGCTTAAGCGCGCGCTCTCGCGCTCTTTTCTCTATCACAGCTGCGCTGCGTTCGCTCTCGCTGCTTACAAAAGCAGCAGCAACAACGCATGTAATTATACAGTCGCGAAAAGCACTAACACACACATACACATGAGTACGAGCGCAGGCTAAATTACATACATACATACATATATAAGAAATGAATGTGTACTGTTTTTGCTTTGTGCGCACGCTGGCCATAGGTTTTATTTTTGATAAATCGTAACGAAATCTAATAGCTCTATGTTTGCTGCGCGCTAGCTAGCGTGACCTTGAATTTTCTTTGATTCTTATGACGTAATTAGCGCGTCTGACCCTCTGCCTCCGTCGCTTCATCAACAACCGAACAACCACACCACAGACAACAGACGTATCGATATTTTGCAAAACAAAAATTTCCAAAAACAAAATGGCGGTAGGGCAATTCTTGTCAGAAGCTTTGAGAAAACGGAAATATTCTGTATCTCTCTATGCGAAATGCGCATTGCACTTCTTGGTGCTTATAATCACACTTATCGCGCACTTTTTTACTAATCTGTTTACGTAAAATTAATTAAAATTTAAGACGAATTCTTACTACTTGGCTGGCGAAGAGGGATGTGAGAACTTGCATAAAAGCATCGATAGTTTCGATACTTTTGCGACCGATGTGCAATCGATATCTGAGCAGGTGGCAACTTTCTGCAATTGTTGCCATATCATTACAAACACACAGGCCAATGCAACGTTACATTTGAAAATGATTTATTTACATTTACAATTTGGCTAAATTACATCTAATAGTTTTAAAGTAGTTGGTTACATATAATTAACTAATTGATTTACTTCTTCAACTGGATTCTAGTGAACGGATGCGCTTCAATGTAAGCTAACGCCTTCAGAATATAGTCGGGGATTGGTGGTGGTGTTGGCAAATGGTTACCTTTGGGTTGGTAGCCGTTCACATCGGCAGTGTACTCTAGTTGAATGTTTTCTCCGTTTGGTGCGGTGTACTGATAGGAGCCTGCAGCATATACGCTTCCGACGCCACTTTCCTGTGCCTGAATGTTGTTCGAGGTGCCGTACTCGTAGTTGTAACTACCATCGGGCTTAATATCGTTTTCATATTTTGTAATTATAGCCTGAGATTCATCCCCGGCATAACTGGTAGCCACAAAGCACAGTGCAGCAATGATAAGGGCCTAAGAAGTAGACTTAAAAATGTAAAAATATTATCCTTTCGTAATATTAATGTAGAACTCACGCTTGTGTACATTGTACTTGTTGTTGGGTGTATTGAAGCTGTGGTAATGTGTTTCGAATGGTGTTGCAGTTGCTACTGATTTCGAAAGAAAAATGTAGATACTTTTATACCACAATCAGCCAAGAAACTGACCTACACCTACAACAGTAGCGCAATTCAGCGGTGTGTGAATATGAATTTTAAAATAACCCTCTTCACTGCTGAAATTATTAATTTTTAATTTTGACCGCGTTTTTACGAGATCTTTTTCATCTGTGCTCGTCCATAACAAACCCATTTGTAGCGGATAAAGCGCGTTAAACCATAAAAATTACATTCCTCTTGTCAAGTATTCATAGCCATAACTGCATTAAACTACTAACAATGCTTCATTTTCGTTTCATATCTAATCTTGACTTAAATTCATAATAAATATATGAATTGTTATTTAAACTATGAATAAACATTGGCAGGTGTCTGCCAAACATTGGCCATTGAGTTAGGCTTCATCTGCTCTTTTCAGCCTTTTGTTGTTTATTAAATGCGACCATCGTCGCTATCTTACTATCGCAGTATCTATCGCGTTGGACATGAAATACATTTGCCTGTCATCATATATTTTGTCAAGTGCCGCCTGATTAATACGCAAATCGATGCATCTCTCGACACCCTCGCGGCACGGGCTAACTGACGGGCAGCCTAACTCGCGACCACTGTGCGGGTGACAGCGCGTTGCGAATTTTAATTATTTTTATCATTCTGTTAAATGGCGAGGGAGTCCGCGTACGCGACCATCCAGCATTTTGTAGACAATCTGAAAGGACGGGTATGTAATCGCACAATAAATGATTGGATTTAAGTGCAATTAAATATACTTTTATATGTATGTATATATTTATATATATATATATATATATATATATATATATATATATATATATATATATATATATATATATATATATATATATGTATAATATGTATTTTGGGGACCATTAAATTTTGCCATTTTTTTTATAAAATTATATAAATTGAGCACTTAAGATGGCTTTCACAAAATTTTGGACCTATTGAACTGTTGTGTCGGAAAATAAAGGTAATAATGTGGCCAGATGTATTTTTCGGGGACACCTTATGTAACGTATATTTTTGGGACGGCGTCCCTGAAATCAGCACTGCGCAACAGCTCAAATATATGTATAAAAAAAAATTTTGTGTAAAGTTGATTATGGGGACAAAAATGTGGAGTTGCCACTCGATGCTTATAAGTATGCGAAAGGTTAATTTTAAGGACCGAGGGGGTCCCTGAATTGATAGTGTCGTTTCCCTCCGTATGTACTGCGTTCATTTTGAGGACAGTCCCCAAAATTGTCGATACAAAGAAAATAAATATATACTGTTCCCAGAAACTGTTCCTATTTACTGTTCCCAGTCCCCATAATGATTGTTTGGTACAAAATAGTACATATATACTTGTATATACAACCATTACAGCGGTTAAGGAAGGTTTTTTAGTAGAACAATATTGATTGCTGAAAACAACATATAATGCAAGTTTGGTACAAAATATGAAAATCTTTTTTAAATAATAGTACGCACAAAACAGTAGGCGGTACATTGTTCTCCCTCTATCCAACATAGTAAAGCCATCGTGAGATAAAAGAATCAATAGAAAAGTCACTCTCAAATTATAGTTTGACCGCTTTTTTACATATGCTTTCTCGCCTCAGCTTTCCTCAGCTGCGCCGCAAATAATAGTTTGAACGCTTTTTTACATATGCCAATATTTTATATTTCTATAAGAATACTTGTATCTAGTCTTACTTGTACTTAATACTTGGATAATATAGATTTCGTACATATGTGTGGTATATAAATTTTATTGTTTATTACAAAAAAGAAACGAAATTTAATCAAAATTCTTAGCATTACATGTGCTTTCTCGCCTCAGCTTTCCTCAGCTACGCCGCAAATAATAGTTTGAACGCTTTTTTACATATGCCAATATTTTATATTTCTAAAAGAATACTTGTATCTAGTCTTACTTGTACTTAATACTTGGATAATATAGATTTCGTACATATGTGTGGTATATAAACTTTATTGTTTATTACAAAAAAGAAACGAAATTTAATCATAATTCTTAGCATTATATGTGCTTTCAACAAAGAAACGAAATTTAATCAAAATTCTTAGCAATACATGTGCTTTTTCGCCTCAGCTTTCCTCAGCTGCGCCGCAAATAATAGTTTGAACGCTTTTTTACATATGCCAATATTTTATATTTCTATAAGAATACTTGTATCTAGTCTTACTTGTACTTAATACTTGGATAATATAGATTTCGTACATATGTGTGGTATATCAATTTTATTGTTTATTACAAAAAAGAAACGAAATTTAATCATAATTCTTAGCCTCAGCTTTCCTCAGCTGCGCCGCAAATAATAGTTTGAACGCTTTTTTACATATGCCAATATTTTATATTTCTAAAAGAATACTTGTATCTAGTCTTACTTGTACTTAATACTTGGATAATATAGATTTCGTACATATGTGTGGTATATAAACTTTATTGTTTATTACAAAAAAGAAACGAAATTTAATCATAATTCTTAGCATTATATGTGCTTTCAACAAAGAAACGAAATTTAATCAAAATTCTTAGCAATACATGTGCTTTTTCGCCTCAGCTTTCCTCAGCTGCGCCGCAAATAATAGTTTGAACGCTTTTTTACATATGCCAATATTTTATATTTCTATAAGAATACTTGTATCTAGTCTTACTTGTACTTAATACTTGGATAATATAGATTTCGTACATATGTGTGGTATATCAATTTTATTGTTTATTACAAAAAAGAAACGAAATTTAATCATAATTCTTAGCCTCAGCTTTCCTCAGCTGCGCCGCAAATAATAGTTTGAACGCTTTTTTACATATGCCAATATTTTATATTTCTAAAAGAATACTTGTATCTAGTCTTACTTGTACTTAATACTTGGATAATATAGATTTCGTACATATGTGTGGTATATCAATTTTATTGTTTATTACAAAAAAGAAACGAAATTTAATCATAATTCTTAGCATTATATGTGCTTTCAACAAAGAAACGAAATTTAATCAAAATTCTTAGCAATACATGTGCTTTCTCGCCTCAGCTTTCCTCAGCTGCGCCGCAAATAATAGTTTGAACGCTTTTTTACATATGCCAATATTTTATATTTCTAAAAGAATACTTGTATCTAGTCTTACTTGTACTTAATACTTGGATAATATAGATTTTGTACATATGTGTGGTATATAAATTTTATTGTTTATTACAAAAAAGAAACGAAATTTAATCATAATTCTTAGCATTACATGTGCTTTCTCGCCTCAGCTTTCCTCAGCTGCGCCGCAAATAATAGTTTGAACGCTTTTTTACATATGCCAATATTTTATATTTCTAAAAGAATACTTGTATCTAGTCTTACTTGTACTTAATACTTGGATAATATAGATTTCGTACATATGTGTGGTATATCAATGTATAATCATAAGCTTTTTTATGATTCCAAATATGCGAAATTATGTTGGCGAAATAATTGCAAAATAAGCGAAACGAAATTGTTCAATTTAAAAGATGTGCACAAATGTTTATTTTGCATAGGTAGCGATCGCCGAGATTTACAAAGTTTATGCTGGTAGACGGAAAGCTAAGCTTCTCCGTACCAGATGCGATAACGAAAAACGAACTTGACTTGCAGAGTTAGCGACAATAACTAGTACATATGTGGCGGCTGCGCAGCAGCCTATGCAAATTTATGGCAACAAAAGGAAACGTTAAGTGCTCGGCTTGCTATGCAAAGCAAGCGACAAGAAAACGAGCACTTTGCATTGAGTTATTTACGTTACTTATTAACTATGATGTGCTGCTGGTTTTGGCTGTTTTTGGCCGGATGACCAAACATACTCCCCCTGTTGAAGAACCAGGGTCTTCAACAACATCTTGTTTCGGCAGCGGGCATAATTTGCGAACGGCTCGCCGAATGGTTCCAGTGGAAGTCCTCAATTCTGCAACTCTCGACACGCCATCTGCGCCGCTGATGAGGCTGACCACCCTTGCTAATGGCCATTTGAGGGGCGGCAAATTCTCGTCCTTGACCAGAACGACATCATCAATGGAGAGTCCAGGCTGCGACACTCGCCATTTTGAGCGCTGTTGAAGAAGCGTCAAGTATTCTTCACGCCAGCGAGCCCAAAATATCTGCTGGTAGTACGTCACGCGCTGCCATCGATCCAGCCGATTGAAATTGAGCTTCGTCAGATCAGGCTCAACGTACGTTGACAGCGGAGCAGCACCAAGAAAATGAGCTGGAGTCAAGACATCGAGATCTGCTGGATGTTCTGAAAGGGATAACAATGGGCGAGAATTAATAATTGCCCCGATATGGCATACAAGCGTGCGCAGTTCATCAAATTCGAGCAGCGATAGTCCGACGGATCTGTAGAAATGATGCTTGGCAGTCTTTACAGCCGCTTCCCATAGACCACCAAAGTGAGGCGAGCGCGGCGGAATGAAACGCCAATCAATACAGTCAGCAAGGCAAAATTCTTGCACAGCCTGCAGGTGCTCGCTGGATTCAAAAAGACGCTTTAGCTCAGCCATCTCGTTCCGTGCGCCAACGAAATTTGTAGCGTTGTCAGACCAGATCCTCGTAGGTCGACAGCGCGTCAAAATAAAGCGTTTAAGTGCATTTAAGAATGCTCCGGTGGTTAAATCCTTCACCAACTCCAAATGCACAGCCTTGGTGGCGAAGCAAATGAAAATGCAAATATAGCATTTTATTGGTGCCTTATTGCGGACCTCGCTTTTGTAGAAAAACGGCCCACAAAAATCCACACCAGTGACCATAAAGGTATGTGAAGCATCAACTCGATCCTTTGGCAGGTCAGCCATAACATGCTCCACAAGACGAGGCTTGGCTCGAAAACAAATGGTGCATTTGCTGACTACGCTGCACACTGTTTTCCGACCGCCAATTGG